GAGCGCGGGTCCAAAAGGGTGAATTTTAAAAGAAAAAAGCTGCGAGACCTTCAGTCTTTAAAAACCACGCCATGCTTTAAAAACTTGAGCTATTATTTCGGCTGAACGTTGAGCATTTTATTCCAGCAGGATGGAAACTGCTTTGCGAAGTTTTAGTCTTCTTAACTTCACCAGCTTGTCAACCGTCTCCGTGTCGCCCTCGACCCCCCCCCCTCGGAGATCGCTGTAGCACAAAGTCTGCGTAGCACAGCCCAGGGCTGGACTCCGGTTCCATCTCCCCCGCACCGCGAAGCACCAAAGCCGGGAAGCACCTCCCCGTGGAGGTTACCCTCAAACTTTGCGGGCGAGAGATCCATTCCGGACCTGGAGAAAAGCACAAGCTACCCAAAATGCCGCCCTCCGCCTTCGACCTCGCGACAATGTCCACTCTGTACAGAGCAGTCCAGGAAGCCAACACCTCTACGCGCCACTCGCCGCAGGCCCTAATCGCCCCGCCCAGTCTGCCTGGCCCCCCCCAAGCCACGCCCCCTGTTGCCGCTCCGGCCTCTGGGCCCGACTTTGGACGCTGCGCCTGCGCACCAGGGCGAGCGCGGGGCGGGGCGAACCTGGCCGGCGGAAAAGGTGGGGCGGGGCGGAGTTGCACTTCCTTGGCCTTGGCGGGTGAGTGTTGGGTGGAGGTTGCGTGCTGCGTCTGGAATGGGCGCTAGGCTCCAGCCTCGGGCCGCCGAGGGTGGGGTGGGAGGTCCGTGGCCTTCAGGGGCGCCCCCTGGAGGATTTGGGGGTGGGGAAGGAAGAAAAGACTATTAAATTGGATTGATGTTGGGTGTGCGGCATGTAAGGACTCGCAAGAGTCGGCAAAACGGGCTCAAAGGGAAGGTTCGTTGTTATTCTCCTTAAAAAGGAAATGCTCTGAAAACGGGGTTTGTAAATTTTCATCTCTTTGGGCAGCTATGTGAGCTTACCGTTATGCCAAGCAAGGCGGCTTGCCCCGTGCCTCTGCCAAACCCGCGAATGGTTAACCAACTAGGGTCTGTGAAGAGCGTGATAGTCCGGTGTAGCTACTGCCAAGGAGTGAAATTAAAACTGTTCTTCTATGGAATAAAAGCCAGTATGTAATAGCATTTAAACAGTGTCTGTGTCTGTCAAATACTGTGCCCAGGCATGGGCTGAGTCTGTATTTCTCATTAGAAATTGAAAGACAACCTAAGCTAAATGACATTTCTTACTTTATTACCTTTCTTAAGAGTTGTGTCCTAGTATCTGTACCTTGGAAGACAAAATAAAAAAATAGACTCTAACGTTTCCAAGTTGATAGAAAACCATGAAGGTCTGTGCAGATTCTAAGTCATCTTGGGGTTGTTGTCCAGGATATAGACGCTTAACATTTAAAAAACGCTCAACATTTTTTGTTCAATGTAATAAGAATTAAAAAGAAAAACCGGAAAAGTCCAGTTCTTTGAGGGTCAGTATTCTATTAGAAACAAAATAAGCACATGGAAAGTTACATAACCATAAGAAGTGGAAATCATGGTTTTAGATATTAAAAGATATCTAATGCAAACCTGTATTTGTCATTGGAAAGTGCTGGTGAGTGCTGGAAACATTTGCTTCCCACCCATTATCACCATGTGGGAATGTGAGTCCCTCACACAGATTTCATTTCCTCCAACACAGAATGAAAAATCCATATTTTTATGTGATTTAAATTCTCTCTCTCTCTTTTTTTTTTTTTTTAAGAGAGAGGGCAAGGGATGGAGAAATTGAGGGAAAGAAACATTAGTCAGTTGCCTCTCATGTGGTAGACCAAACCTGCAACCCAGGTCTGTGCCCTGACTGGGAATTGAATTGGTGGCCTTTTGCTTTGCCAGACGATGCCCAACAGACTGAGCCACACTGGCTAGGGCTAAAAAAAAAAAATTAAATATTATTGGCAACCTGTTAATTCACACACTCTCTGAGCTGGAAGCAGGCAGTTTGTGACTTCTGCAGATTATCACCGGGGTATTCAGAAATAATTGGAATTGAAAGAGGAAAAAATTCCTGGACACTGGTGGTCAGATAAGGATTTAAGAAAACAGATTTGAGCTGGGTCACATAGGAGAGGTGTTTTAGAGGGGGTAGGACATAACAGGTGAGTAAAATCCAGTTGGGAAAGTAAGCAGAGATAATGACTAAACTTTTATTAGAGTAAATGGGTCTGAGAAAGCAAGTACAGTAAGTGGAATAAAACTGGTTCAGGAAACCGTACAGTGCCAAACTGGACTTTATTTTAGATTACTAGTTCTAAAACTTGAACATATACCAGAGTCACCTGGAAGGTTTATGACAAGAGATTGCTGGCCCCTCCAGAATTTCTGATTCAGAAGGTCTGGGGTGGAGGCTGAGAATTTCTTCTTCTCATCACTTCTCAGTTGATGCTGATGCTGCTGGTCTGGGGACCACACTTGGCGAACCATGGTCCCAGGGTGTGGGGAACTGTTGGAGGAATTTGAGGTGGCTGCTAAGGAGTTGGATCACATTCAGGCTTCAACATGAGTCTTGCTATGAAGTCCAAGGTGGAAGACTGGAGACAGAGAGAAAGAGGGTTCCTTATAGTTAATTAGCACCTGCTGGAGGCCAGGCCCTCTGCCGGGCTCCCTCATACACAGGATCTCACTTCATACTCACTGTGACCTTGATGTATTGGTCTTAATATTTTTATATGGAGAGTAGTAGAGGTATCCTAGGCCTCATAGCTAGGCTAGTCTCAGCTTCCTAAGGAAGATTTGGACTAGGGTAGTGGCAGTAGAAATGAAAACATTCATTGGTGATGGAATTGAGAAAAGTAGGGACTTCCCAAGTAGATTGAGGCTTAAAAGTAAAATTGGGAAATCTGTGTCTTAGCTGCAAAAGTGAAAAAAGGTGAAGTGGACAGGGAACCTGAGAATGTTCCATGCACGAATTCACTGTGTGAATTACTCTCATGTAACAATGGTCCATTTAAAAGCTGCTTGTTTAAAAAGTCATCCTGCTCTACCAAAATTTCCTGAAATTATTTGAAAAGGAGAAAGTAAAGTCTTCTGCGGGGGTGGCGGGAGACGCTAAATAGGTTAGTAGCATCTGAGAGCTTATCTTTAAATCAAAAGTGATTAGCATTGAGAAATAGAAACACGTGGCCTAACACTGCACCGACTATATGAACTGTACTGTGCCGCGGACACTGACCTAATGTATTGATTTTGGAAATACTGTGTGCTTTTTCTTGCCAGAGTAGTGATTGAAATTGAAAATATTCACTGGATCAATTTCAAGACAAATAGCCTGAGTCAGACCAGCTGCTGCTGAGCAGATTTTTAATGAAGGGAAACATCCATATATTGAAATCAGACTTTAAAAATAAAGTCCTTAAGATAAATATATATTTACTTAAAAATGTAGAAAATGTGTGGTTTCAAACATTGATGAACTGAATACTCAGCATGATGGAGTTATCGACCCATACAAAATACAGCACACACTCATTTATTCAGTGAACAATAAAGTTTGATGAGGGTATAAAGATAAGTCATAGTCTAGGCAAGACTGACATTTTTAAAAAATGATCACAAGACAGTGCGATCATTACTATGAGAGGGATGTGAGCAGTCCGTGGTGGCAGGAGATAGTGACAACTGAAGAGCCATGGAAAGGACTCCAGGGTACTGTTACAGAGGAGGAGGCCCTTGAGTTGATTCTTGAGGGCTGAGGGGGGAATTTGTGAGATAATTAAAGGAGATAAGGACATTCCGATCAGAAGAGACTTCAAGGACACTGGCCAAGATGTATAAAAGAGTATGGCTTTTTCCAGGGCCTCTGCGCAGGTCAGAATAGTTACAGTGATGTGGTAGAAGTGGAGGAGAGGTGGATAAGAGCACTCAAAAAAGAGTATGCAATGTTTAGGTGATGGCTGTCTCGGTTGGATTGTGAACTTCGTGATGTTAGGAGCCAAGTGCGGCCCGTATACCAGTGTATTCCAGGGCCTAGCAGTGTGCCTACCATGTAGTAGCTTCTCAATAAACAGTTGCTGAGTGAGTAAATGGCCAAATCACAGGAAAACATTTTTTACAGATGAGGCAGAGAGAACTTTTAGAATGTTTTAAGCAGAGGAGTAAGTAATATAATCAGGCTTATGTCTTATGAGGATAAGTGCTTGTATGGATGAAGAATTAGTGATCATAGAAATGACTATAGTAGATTGGGGTTTTTCATTAAGGTTGTACTTGTTGGTAGGTTGCAATCTACATGAAAAAAATGAATAGAAAATCAGGACTAGAGTGGGTCACACGTAATAGGGGTATGTGATGTTTTGTGAAACTTGTTTCGGTTACATGTCTGTGTGGTGACCGATGTGCGTGTGTTTCTCCTTATGGACTGCACTCAAAGCTTGAAGCCATTAGAGGAACGTGGGAATGAGGTTGGAGAGAAGGGAATGGATACCAGCGATACTTTGGAGGAAAACAAATGTGAACCTTAAAATGCTGGTGTCCAGCATTTTAAATGTGAACCTTTTGCAGAGGTGGGGGTGCACTTACTAACACACTTCAGTATCTGTGCCCACTTGATGTGCTCCATCGTGTATCAGTACACAGACGTTCTGGCTCATTAGGAGTGGCAGTGCCTTTGAGGCATCTAACTGAATGTTATAAATGTTCGGGTTAAAACCACAGGATGAAACTATACTCCCCGGAATCCTGGAAGTTCATGGAGATTGTTTGATTTGATTGTTGGCCAGGGTCTTTGATTTCGTCCCATAAGGAAAAGATGCTTAGTTATACAGGGAGGTGGGAAGTCCTTCTCCTACCTGTGCGACTTTGCCGCTGCAGCAGATGCTGTCTGTTGTGCCTGTGACGTATATAAAGGCACAAAACTGCTCGATGAGGCTGAGTTATACTGCCTTTTTAAAAATGTATAGACTCCGTTAAAATCTGGTCGATTGGTTGATTACTTTAAATATGTACTTTGGATTTCAGGTATGAATTATTCTCTGGAGCAAAAAATATTTTAAAAAATTTTAGAAGCTTGGTCTGCCACCTAATACATTATTGGAATCTCTTACTGATGAGGTTTGCACAGAAAATGTAAGATAATTTTTTAAATTTAATCTTTATTGTATTTTTTCCATTACCATTTAGTCCCCGTACACCCTCCTCCTCTTAGCAGTCGCCACGTTGTTGTCCTTGTCTGTGAGTCCTTTTTCCTTTTGCTGAATCCCTCCACCTCCCCCCACCCCAGCTGTTATCCAAAATAATTTTTCATTTGGTCTAAGTGAGAGAAAGAAAGGAATGAAGGGAGGGAAGGAAGGCAGGGAGGGAGGAGAGGAAAGGGGGAGGGAAGGGAAGGGAAGAAGGAAGGAGGTAGGAAAAGAAGATAATGAAGATAAACAGCCCGCTGTCATCATTATTCATATGTAAAGGGTTATTTAGTGTTCCTTTGATATGACATGATACTGCTCCTCTTTTTAGAAAACAATCTAGGTTGAAAACCGTACTTTTTCCCAAGTTCTGCCACTAGTTGTGAGACCTAGGTCAGTAAAAGTAACCCCCATGAGCTTCGCCTGTAAAACAGAACCTCATCTGCACTGCGAGGCTCAGCTGAGGAAGCGCACGCACAGTATCTCACACGTGGTAAACATTCAGTGAAGGGTAACAGCTGCTGCTCTGCCATTCCGAGGGTCTGCAGAGTTTGGGGGCACGAAGAAAACCGGCCCCCAGGCAGAGATCTGAAGGTTTAGAAACTTAGAGTTGCCTATATCTGGGTAGTTTTTTGATTTTGGAAAAAGAGTAAAATAAAATGTATCATCCTTTTCTTGGCTCGCTCTTTTCACTTAAAGACCTTTTAAGATTTGTATTGGCATGGAAGGGCAGAGAACTTCACTTGCCAGATAGTTGATGTGGATTTTTCTGAGAAAGACTGCAACTGTAAGAAATCACTATTTTAGATGTTGGAGCAGTCTATAAACTATTAAGTGGTTTTTATTCATCTCATTTATTTCGGGAATGTTATTTGCTAGCGTCATTATAAGTGGACAAATTTTCATCTAGTAAAGCTCTTATTACTGGGTTTTGATTCCTTACAAACTTACCTTTCTGTTTTGGGAAATTAGATGTCAGAGATACTTTGATTCAAAACAGGGAACTTAGATGGTAAAATTTTTTAGTCAATATTCTCAGGTTCGAATTATTACTCAAACTTTTCTGTATAGAATAACATAAAGTAGACAGAGTGTCCGTTCATGAGCCTTTAACAAAAATTACTAACAGGTTACCATGTGTCAAGCATTGTGCTAGATTCTGAGGAAATGGAGAATAAGATACTGTCCTTTCTCTTGGAGGATTGCCAGCCGCAGTGAGGGTGGGACTTGGTGGAGAAAGGTCTATAAATAGATCAATTAGAGCCTAAGAGGCCAAACACTCTCCCTGAGATGTGCTGAAAGAGTTTGGAGCATCCAGGATAGAACATTGACTGCCCGGTGAGGTGGGGAAGGGTGTGTCTTAGAAGAGGTGATGTTTGAACTAAGAAGGAGTTTGTCAGGCAAAAAAGTGGAAGATACACATTTGGACACTAATTTTTATTATAGCATAGGGATGGTTTTAAAAAAATCTTCCGTGCTTTAAAATGGTTATTAGCCATTAAGCGGTGCTTCTGATACAATCCCTGTGCATAGAAACATAGCTAAAACATGATCACCACTTTTTTTAAATTGCACATAATTCTTTTTCCTAGGTTTTTGAATACATAGGTTAATTTTATAGCTAATTTAGAAAGTCACCTATAAATATACATTGAATGTAATACTGATGCTCACAGTAACCGGTTAAATTAAGGGCTCAACAAATTTGATTCTCTTATAAACAAGTCTAAGTGTAGAAGGAAGCCAGTTATAGGTGATTACAAAGATAAAAGTTACATGAATAGTTATTAGATATTTCTCATTAAAGTTACAAAAATTCTAAATTTTATCTTAAAGTTGTTTTTTTTTCTACCATAGCAGTTGTGCTTTGTTTGTTCTAAATGTCTTTTTGAGTGTTTGTGCGAAGAGTAGTAATGAGTGTTGTAAAATTGTGTTGTAGAAACATTTTTACATATTTTAAGCATTATCCTCTTAGAATAAGACTAATTTTGTACAAACAGAAATCATAACTTTCTCCTCCCACCCAAAACAGAAACATGATGAGCAGTTTTGGGTCTAATAGCAAGTTAAAACATGTCTTTTTTTTTTTTTTTTGTAATAGAATGTTATTTAGCTAAAATTAATTTTTGTTGACTGGCTTTGAAATACAATTTAGAGAGGAACTTTGCAGCAATAAAATAATTTAGTACATTGTGCTTAGAGGTTCTTAAAAACCAGAATTCTCAAATAATCATAAGCTCAAACAAACTTAATAGGCTATATATATGTCATTTGTAAATTTTTGTTTGCCACTGAAAGCTAGGTCTCTGATCTAATTTTTACTAAAATTTTATAAACCGGTATAATAATAATAAAAGCTAACATTATTGAGCTCTTACTCTGTGCTGGGCACTGTTCCCGGCTTTTTGCATGAACTTGGTTTGTTCTCACAGGCATCCCATTCTCTCACCTGTTCTCATAAGAGGAAGTTGAGCCACAGGGTGGTTAGGATACCCAAGGTCATGACAGCTTATGTGGCAGAGACTCAGAGTCACCAAGGCTCATATTCTCTGCACTTTCCTGACTCTCAGCATGCTTAGCTTTCATTGTCTAATGCAGCTTGAAGTGGAGAAGGTCAGTAAGTCTAAGTAAAGGATCCTCAATCCCATAGCGGTTCAAACTCAAGTGTGCTTACCTGCAGACTTGTGGTTTATGGGGCTGAGAACGTGCATTTTTAAGAAGCACCCACGTGGTCGTGACCATACTTTGTGTTACACTGATGTGGTTGGAGTACAGTCCTCACAGTTCGGTTCACGTGAAGGCTTGTTGTTGTTAGTGAGCTCTCGCGGGGCCATGCAGGGCACATGTCTCTGCTCCAGGGTGACTCTCTGGGATGCACGCTGGATCTAAACTTACACCTCTAGTGCCTGCAAAAACTAACCGCATCTCTTGGGTAGAAAATGAATAAAAAGCCAGCATCAAAGGGGTTTTTAAAAAACATTTTGAAATGAGCTTCGGAGTAGGGTATGTTTGATCTGAGAAAATTGTTCAGATGAATATAAGGTCTATAGACGGAAGAAACTAAGCATGACATAAAATTTCTACCTTAATGGGGTTTCTGTGAATTTGTTTTCTGTTTAGGAGAAAGTACGTATTTACACTGCTTTTCACAGTAGAGTTTCGTGATTTGGGTTATTCTGAATATTAACTGTAGGTCAGGAGGGGCCTTTTAAATTTAGTGAGAAACTTTCACTCATTTGTAGTATCAAGAACCCTGATTATGTGTGTTTCAGAATACAGGGAAACACAAAGCTTGCAGTTTTTTACCACTTCAGTATCCCAGCTGTATATTGAACTGGGAAAAATATGTTTGTCCTTCTTTTAGGAAGTTACAAGTCACACTGAGCCAAGAAACGTCCCGTGTTTTCTTCAGCTACAGACAAAATGAATGTTCCCTTGCTGCTACAACACCCTCACCAGCATCTCCTAAAAGGCCTTTTGAGAACACCTTTGCGACGGTACCACTGCATCTTTCGCTCAAGTGCTCATCTCGGGTCAGAGAGCCCCCGCGCTCGGCCATGGGACTCCCCTGGACTCCACTGGACAAAGTGGCCGCTGCTGTCAGACTGTTTAAGGAGACCGTTATGCGTCCACACAATCTTAAAGGAGCACACAGAAGGACTTTCTGATAAAGAACAAAGATTTGTGGATAAACTTTACACGGGTTTAATCCAAGGGCAAAGAGCCTGCCTAGCAGAGGCTATAACTCTCATAGAATCAACTCACAAAAGGAAAAAAGAGTTGGCCCAGGTGCTTCTCCAGAAAGTGTTGGGCTACCACAGGGAGCAAGAACGGTTAAATAAAGGGCAACCACGAGCGTTTCGAGTGGGTCAGTCTTTCCTTTCTTTTTTTAGTGTCCAGGAAACGCTTTAAAAATTCCGTTTAAAAAAAATGTCTAGATGGTTTGCATTGTAATGGGCGTTTGTTTTTCTTCTCAGAGTTTTGTGATGAATTTAAGTACTTTTCCATTGCAAATATTGGTATGTTGAGAAAAGCTGCCTGGCCATTTGCACCAAGGCTCTGCATTTTAAAAGAACAGTGTAAGGTTTCTGCCGGCGAGAGTCTTGCTCCGACTCCCAGAACAGAAGCGTGAATGGGAAGAATGGTCGGCGGTTCACTCCTTTCTCTCAGTAGGCCTTTGGCTTACTAGTCTAAAGTGAATTCCCAGCTTCCGTGGTTAAGTCAGCTAAAATTGTGCTTGTCATATTTTAAACTTCTCCTTCCTGGGTGTTTCTTTCCTCTTCCTATAGACAAGTCTGTCTTCTCGCCGACACTTTTTGTTAGAGTTACTGGGAGTGGTTTGGCTCCGAGCACAGCCGCCTCAACACCAAAATGTAGTTTGAGGGGGAGGCCGCATTCATTTGCTGTCGGAAAATATTGATGTTCCCTTAATGTCTTAAACCATTGACTTGTTTCTGTGATTGTGTGTAAGCTTGCTGTGTGTTTGGAATTGTCCACTTTAATGCAGTTTAGATATGTCTGGCCGTCAGGAACTGAGCGAGTCAGTTTGGGGGCACGGGAGCCATTCGGGATGGAAGCTAGGTGATTCCAGCCACCTGTCACCAAGAGCAACTTGAAGTGGTGAGCAAAGTGCAGAAATTCTGTGAGAAATGAATACACTTTCAAGTGGACTGGCATTTATTAGACTTTCATATCTCGGTTTATTGGCAATATGGGAACTAAAACCTTTTAGTTTTTACAGTTTTAAATGGGGTATAAATGCTTTAAAGATAGTTTTCTTTTTAAAGATCTTATTTATTTATAGAGAGAGGGAAAGAGAAATATCGGTGTGTGGTTGCTTCTCATGTGGCCCCCAGTAGGGGCCTGGCCCATAACCTAAACATGTGCCCTGACTGGGAGTTGAACCAGCAACCCTTTGGTTTGCAGCCCACACTCAATCCACTGAGCCACACCAGCCAGGGCTAAAGATAGTTTTTAAAAAGAGCTCACCAACCATTACTTTTCACACAACTTATTCTTCTGTCCTCACTGAGGGAACTCCCATTTTAAGAGTACTACATAAGGTGTTAATAATAATCTTTAGGCAGACAAACCAGCAAACTTCCAAAGAGAAGTTTTAGTTACGACAAAGTATTTACGTCCAAGCAGGGGTGTCTGACTGGCGGGCTGCATGCGACCCAGGATAGCTATGAATGCAGCCCAACACAAAATTGTAATTCACTTAAAACCTTTTTTTTGCTCATCAGTTTTCATTAGTGTTTGTTTATTGAATGGGTGGCCCAGGACAGCTCTTCTTCCGGTCTGGCCCAGAGACGTGAAAAGGTTGGACACCCCTGCTTTAGAGAGTCTTTGCAGAAAAAATGTCCTGGAAATATCTGGAGTTAACCAGTAATCCACACATCACTAGCAACTCACAATTTTGCAGTGCTATTCTTGCTTTTCCATCTTGCTCTCATGTGGCTCAATAAACCTATTTCTTTATTGCAGTTATTTTATTCCCATTGTAAATAAAAGCAACCAGTGTTTATTGAGCGCCCATAAATAAGTGTAAGATAGAGACCTGCCCTGAATCAAGCATACTAACTACATAGGCCATACATGCTTTTGAATATGGTGACAGTTAAATGCTGTTTTTCATTATTGAACCAACATCCACTTATGCATCTTTTTTACTTTATGCCATGAGCTGTTCTAAACCACTGCCAGTACTAACTCATCCAGTCCTTACAACAACCTGAGGAGGTAGGTGCTCCTGTAGTCATTTTATGGCAGTGTATACTCAGGCACTGCAGGGCGAAGTAGCTTATCCAGGGTGACACAGCTCGTCAAAGGCGGAGCTAGAACAGAAGTGGCCGCCCAGACCCCGAGTTAGTGCTCTCACCTGCCGTGCTCTCAGTGAATGTATTTTTTTCTTTAAGTTGGTTTACAGTCTTGCAGTGTTTATATTAGTTTCAGGTGTCCAATGTAGTGATTTGACATATTTATACCTTACATTGTGATAACACTACTAATGCTAGTAATCATCTGTCACTGTGTAACTAAAATATGGTTGACTATATTCCCCTTTGTCTTTTCATTCACCCTGTCCCTTCTGGTGATCGTCCCTTCGGTCTCTGTTTTTATGAGTGTGTTTTTGTTTGGTTTGGGTTTTTTTGTTTGTTTTGTTTTGTCTTTTTAGATTCCACATACGAGTGAAACCATATGGTGTTTGTCTTTCTCTGCCTGACTTATTTCACTTAGCATAATACCCTCTGCCTTTCTTAAGACAAACTATTTTTTTCAATATTTAGTCTATATTCTTTGAGTTACAGGTGAGCTGAAAAAATAACCTTTTATAAGTAGGGAATTACTTTCTCCATCACTAGCAATTTTTAGAGCAATAAGTAGTTATGTTTTCCAGTGGGGAGACGCAGCATACAGAGATGGGGTAGGTGGAATCATTGCCCGTCTCAACAAGAGGTAGGCAGGTGTTATGGACAGTCAGCACCTTGACCGCAGGGGCGATGAAGTCTGTCCCAAAAGGTCTGTGTTATAGTAAAACAGGGAAGTCATGTTTTGTAATTTTAAAAAGTGAATTTGGTGAACATATGGAACTCAGAACTGTTTCCTTGCTATGTCTCTATTACTCGGATACTAGATAAAGAAATGGATTTTTGTTTATTGCTTTTGGAAATGTTAAAATATAATGATGGTTTTAATAACTTAGGAGGAACAGAAGGAAGTCTAATATTTTAATAGAACTCATTTGTGTCATTAAATGAGAAGATCTCTTTCACTGTAGGATTGTCCGGCCCCCCAGGTGCTGGAAAATCAACCTTCATAGAATATTTTGGGAAAATGCTTACTGAGCGAGGGCACAAGCTGTCCGTGCTGGCCGTGGACCCCTCCTCTTGTGCTAGTGGGGGTGAGTACTGCGGGCTCTCTGTGGACGGCGGGGCGGGGGCTGCTGGGGTCTCTGTTGTGACGCTGTAGTGGGAGTTTGCAGTCAGGTGACCTCCAACCTCTAGCTGAGCTTGGTCTCACTGAAGGAGGAGGAGTTCTGAGGAGCGAGGTGGAGGCTGAAGGAGGCAGTTTGGGGCATTGGGCTCTGCAGACAAGATGAGCCCAGGATCAAGCAGTGGCCTGGGTACCCAGAGAACTAGGAGAACGTGGCCAGAAGTTGAAGATAATTAACAGCCCCCCTTCCCTCCTGTTGTTCCCGGCTGCAGCAGCCCCTACAGGATTCAGAAAATGGGTTCTCCTCTTTCTCTATTTTCCTCTTATTGTTGTAATATCTCCTTTTAAGCTTAAAAAAAACTTAGAACTTGTCACCTGTTTAGATTACGGGTTCTGTTAACTGGAATGCCCTTAGAGGCCCACGTAGTGTTCCGCTGTTCCCCCTGCAGCCTTCAACATACACAGCACATTGCACACGGCACTCAGCGGTCGCCTACTGAACCTACCGATTCGAGGTCTTGCCGTCACTCAGTTTAATTTGCAGCTCATCAGAGATGAGGTGATGAATCGGACTTCCCCAAAGGTTCATGTAAGGAAAAGATAAAGCTCACGTGCAAGTAGGGAAGGGTCTTCTTTTCTCACCGGCCCTGATGATTTAAGCTTCTCACATTACAGTCATCCCTTTAACAAGTGTGACTGCAGGCAGGCACTGTGCAGTGAAGGCACCGCATTGTCCAATGGTGGGTAAGCCACAGTCCTCACGGCCTTATGGAGCCCGATGTCACATGAGGGCACACAGGCCACTGCAGTGTGTTGTGTGTTGGGAAGAGGAAGTGCGGCATGCTTTGTGCAAGTGTTTGGTTTGTGTGCTATGGGTTTAAGGCTAAAATATACAGATGATAAAATCCTGTTTCTGGGCTCTTAGCTTCATAGAGAGGTGGACAGCAGTTCTGTCACCACCTATTGAGAATTCAGCTGAGGACAGTCACAGCTTTTGGCTCACTATAACTAAAAGGGTAACTAAAATTTATATTCACAGGGTTCAAGGTTAAGTTCACATCAATGTAGTGGCTTACTTACAGTCTAAGAACTTTGTTAAAGGTATGTGCCTGAACAAATACCTTTTGAGAGTGGCCCTCATTTCCATGTAGATGAGGAGGCATCCCCCTGCACCTTGATGACAGATATTCTAGAACCCTTGCAATAGCCAAAGAGAACAGTAGCTCGAGGTAATACCAGCAGAAATGCTGACGTGAGAAGGTCTGATTACAGTTGCACACTGTGTGGTTCCCGAACTTCCTCAAACCAAAGATGAGGTTCCCTTTCTCAGGTGAAACGAAACGCAAACTTTGAAAGAAAAAAGTACACAGACAGGACACTGGAAGTGTAGTAGTACATACACATTTGAAAACATACACATTTGAGGTCTGAGAAGCAGACCTGTGCTTGGCACGCACAGGCCCCCCCCCACTGGCTCTGAGGCCCCCCAAAAGGCCAGCGCCCAGCAGTTTTGGGTTCACGGGCAAAGACAATTACACGGGAGAGTAAGTTCATGGTGTGGAGTTCAGTGCATTAGCATCTATAGGAGAATCATTCCAAGTATAGTTTCTGCATATTGTTGACTTAACACAGAGGTGATTTCACGCAGAAAATTATTTTAGAAAGTTTTGTGTGCAGTAAGTGAGGTTGTTGAGATATGTGGCAGGCCTGTGCTCCAGAATTAGCATCTACGAGAACTTTAAACAGGAGCATAAGGGAAAAGGGCATGTCTTGAAGGAACTTCTCAACGGTCAGCACCAACTTTATGTGGAAAAGTTAGCTCTTACGCAGAGTGAATATTGAACTTTAGGATAGAACAGTACTAGACATTTAAATCTTAATATATGGTTAAAGGTGATTTCAGTAGTTCCAGGGCCTTCAGACTTCCAGAATTTGCAAATATTGATGTTTGCCAAAATACCGCAGTAAACCCTGAAACCTCACTCTAGGTGTTCAGGGAATTGCCCGCTGTGAACAAGCAATCAGCATACAAAATGTGTAAGATACAGTCCTATAGGGAGGAATTTTGGTTGAAGCTGGGCTTCTCCACCTTAACACTGATGACATCCCTGTGGCCCTGCTCGTCGAAATATCCTGGCCTCTGTCCCCCAGTTGTGACAAGTAAAAATATCTCTAGGTCTTGCCAGATTTCTCCTGGGGCAGAATCACGCCAAGTTGAGAACCGTCAAGACAATAATGCTAGGACGAGAGTGAAGACACCACCCTGGCTGCGGTGCAGGGCCAGCGTGGGGACCAGTGGGTGCCGAGACTGGACAGGCGAGGTGGGGCGAAGCATCTAGATTTGAGCCTCTGGTCCCTGGGAAGCCATTGTAAGTTTCAAAGGGCTTGATATGCTAAAAAAAAAAGTTTAATTTGGTATTACTATATGTACTGTTGGGCTGAAAGCTCAACGGTCTGAAATACAATTTGCGATTTTGGGAGAAATGTCATAAAGCACTTCCTCCAGGAACTGGCTAATTGATGATTGGCCCTTATAGGTGTTCCATGATTATAAAATGTAACTGTGCATTTCAGGATCACTCTTGGGTGATAAAACCCGAATGACTGAGTTATCAAGAGATATGAATGCGTACATCAGGCCGTCTCCTACTAGAGGTACTCTAGGAGGGGTGACAAGGACCACCAATGAAGCTATTCTGCTGTGCGAAGGCGGAGGCTACGACATCATTCTCATCGAGACTGTAGGTGGGTGTGGTCTTCTGCCTCATGACAAAATCCTGTTCTAAGGCACTCCGTGTAAACATGGGCGACAGCTAACTCGATCTGTTTATTCAGCGGCTATTACTAAAGATATAATTACATACACGCTATCTCAGACTCGCTGGGAGATTTGAGTGTGTAGGCTATAATCTGCCCTTGAAGAGAAGAAAAATCAGCCATGTCTGTGGGTACCTGTCACACAAGGTGACGTGTTGTAAGTACCAGAGGAGGTCTGTGAGCACCGGGATGACCTACAGAAACAGGACTTGAACATGACACCTATTTTGCTTAAGCACATTTCATGTTTACAGTGTTTGCTAAGAAAGTTGGGTGCCTCTTGAAAACAGGGTCATGTCTATTTCATTTTTATGTCCCTGTTACATACCTACATGTGATGAGAATACTGAAATGGAAACCCAAGAAATCCACATTCTTGGGGGGAAACAATATATTATGTTACTGAGTGATGTTTGTGACACAGCCTGAATCAGATTTGGGGTATCAAGGACGACTTCCAGGAGGAGGTGACAATTGAACTCAGTTTTGTTTTTTTAAAGATTTTATTTATTTATCCTTAGAGGGGGGAGGGAAGGAGAGAAGGAGAGAAATATCAATGTGTGGTTGCCTCTCATGTGTTCCCTTCTGGGAACTGAACTGCAACCCAGGCATGTGCCCTGACTGGGAATTGAACTGCAAATCCTTTGGTTTGCAGGCCTGTGCTCAATCCACTGAGCTACACCAGCCAGGGCTGAACTCAGTTTTAAAGGAAGAATTGGAGTTACATAAAGTGTGGGATAAAGGGTGTTTGCACAGACACAGGCCTGAGGGAGTGTGGCCCATTCCGAGAACTGCAGTGTGCTCAGGGTGCCTGGAGCCGCGGAGTGATGGCAGGGTGTGGAGAGATGGGGCTGGAGAACTACCAGAACTACCCCAGCCAAGGGCAATGGAGGGAGAGGAGGACCATAAACACCAAGTGTATTACCTAGAAATTGCTTTGGGCTGCTTGTCCCAGAGACTCAAAATAACTGTGATTCAAATGAGAAGGAGGTTTACTTTTTGTAGATAAAAACCTGGAGGCAGGTGTCCTGAGCAGCCATGGGTATTCTACCATGCCCCCGTGTCCCAGGCTTCTGTCTCTGCTGTCATTAAAAGATGGCTGGTGACACTCTTGCACGTCCGTGTTCCAGGTAGAGGGAAGGAGAGGGGAGGAAGGAGGTCAGGGGGCAGGTGGAAGAGTGCCTCCGGGCTGTGTGCACCCTTAAAGAAACCAGCTTTCCTGGAAACCCTGTCTGATGAGTTTCTGCTGGTTAATCATCTGTAGCCAAAAGGGGGTCTGGTGACCTTGGCCTTTCCTCTGGTGCATTGATGCTCCTGTAACCCTGGGGCCAGGAAGTGGAGAAGAGGGAGGAAGAAAGACTGAACGGGAAGTTAGGAGTCTCTGTCCACTGGGAAGGAGGGGTTCTGAGAGGGGTGCTGGGGGAGCGGGCTGGGGGGGGGTTGGATTTTGGTGCATTGAGGTTAATTTGAAGTAGTCAAATGAAGATGGCAACCATGTACGCTTTTTTCTAGAAACTTAGCTCTAAAGAGAAAGTGAGAGATCCGGTGACAGGAGCTTGTGAGTTTGTGCTAGTTTTTTACTTGTTTTGTTGGGTTTTCAGATGAGAAAGACGAGTGCAGTTCACGCCATGTACTGAGGGACAGAGCCATAGACAAAGACGAGGGTAGAGACAAAGCTGCCGGGCCCAGAGGAAGGAAGGAGCAGGGTCATTCTCAGCCGGTACTACAGCTCTGGGAGGGACGAGGAGGTGGAGGGCAGAGCTCCCGTTCGGGGGCGCTCACTGGTGGGGGGACAGCGGAGAAGCTGAGGAAGTTCTTGTTATTTCGCTGTGAAGTTGGTGCGGGGCCATCATCCTGTGCGAGATTATGGGACAGTGTGTTTGTGTGACCAGTGCGAGCAGTGGGAGGGGGGCTGACTGGAGGCCCTCAGGGGCATCGCTTTTGCAGGGCCGCTAGGGTTCGCAGTAGACATGGGAGCCCACGACCCCATCGTGGCCCCTTTGGTCCGCACCTGAGCTGGTTCTCCAGCGTGAACGCGGAGTCCAGAGCACAGGGAACTGCGCTGATCCGCAGCGGGGGTTGGAGGGCCGGTGCCCAAGGGTGAGGCAGGAAGGCAGAGAGTGTTAACAGGCACAGTCCAGGGGAGAGCTGCGGGGCTCAGTGTGCTAGCTGCAGAGAGGGAGGCCGAGAGAGTGGGGTCGGAGGGGAGGCCCCGAGGTTCTCACTCAGAGACTGAGCCTGGCGGGAAGGACAGAGAGAGATGGGAAGGGCGGCAGGCCTGCTTGTAGGCTGGGACAGGGACGTGCCATTCTTCAGGGGGGTGTTTAAGGTGGGATCAGGTCGGGTGGGCGATGGAGTGAGTGAACGGAGTGGAGTGGAAACCATCGTCAGTGTGGTTGGGAGACCAAGTCACCGTGAACATTTCAGCGTGCATCGTAATTTAAAATTCCAGGTGTGGGCCAGTCGGAGTTCGCTGTTGCTGACATGGTTGACATGTTCGTGTTGCTGCTGCCACCAGCAGGAGGGGACGAGTTGCAGGTAATCGTTCTTTTTCCTCCCCGAAACACAAAGTATACATCTCTGAAAGTACAAGTTTCAGATGTCGTATTTTTGTGAATTAAGTTGTTATTAGTGTAGGGAAAGAAACGGCAACATTCACATTAGCTAAAATACTTGTCAAAGGCAGATTTGTATATTTTCCCAACGTACAGTAACAGAACTGAGGACCTTGAGCTGATGACAGGGCCCAGACTTGGCCACCTGTGACCCTGGAGTGGCGGCATAGGTGGGCGGCTCCAGGGGGCAGGGGCCGCTGCCAGGTGGGCGTTTGGAGTCCAGTCGGTTGAGAAGCTCCTCGTAAGCTATCCCTCCGCGTTTCGCTGGGATCGCGCTACCGCAGTTCGTGTCCAGTCCAGTGGGAGCCTGGCTCTCCTCCCGCAGCGCGAGTCTGGCGTGGGCCGCCTGGCATTAACGACCTTCCCCAGTGGAGGGCGCTGTCCCCCTCACGGCCGCCCTCACTCCAGACACCAGACCAGCCGCGGGGCTTGGGGGTTCCCAGGCCACCCGCGGCTCTGACCAACTGGCCACCAATGCGGGGGTTCCCACAGGTTTGATGATTAACCAGGATGACTCACAGAACTCGGGAGGCACTATATTACGGTTACAGTTTCATGATACAAATTAGGACCAGCCAAATGAAGAGACATGTAGGGAGAGGGCGGGCAGGGTCCCAAACCTGAAGCTCCTCTGTGCTCAGGGCACAGTTCCATCCTGGGCATCGATGTGTGTCACCCGCAGGGAGTTCGCCCGAGCTTCAGGGCCCAGGGTTCTTATTGGGGTATCTTTACGTGGACGTGATTCACAGGGTCGTTGTCCACACGACCGAACTCAGTCCCCAGCACCCCGCCCCCAGCCTTCCCCAGAGGTCAGGCTCCAATCCCACGGTCGAGGTCAGTCTTCCCGGTGCTCCGCTCCCATTCTGAACTCAGGTGTAGTCCCGGCGGTGCCCGTGGTGAGTAACAAAGACACCCCTGTCACTCAGGAAATTCCAGGGTTTGGAGGCTACTCCCCAGGAACCTTGGACAAAGACCAGACGAATTCTTTGTTGTACAGAGAATTTTACTTCTAAAAATAGAGTGACAGCAGACAGTGGGTGCTGCAGTTTAGAAACACATTAAATATTAGAATTTAACCATTGAGGGTTATGTTTTAAAACACTTGAAAAGAAATCTTAATCTTAGATGGAAAAAATCTACATTTTTCAAATACGGTTTGGCCTTAGGATGTTTTTTTGCAGCATAATTTAAATCAAGAGAGTGAGGCATTTTTTTTATCCTCAGGTTATTCTTCCTCAAAAAAACCCAAAACAAACAAACACACACACACACACACACAAACAACCCCCCCAAACGCTATATGCTGGTACATTTAAGGAAAACGTCAAAGACTTTGTTTCCAGATGTGCAGAATGTGGCAATAGGTGTGCTTCTCTCCAGGCGCCTGGATGATGGACACTGCGTCTTGCTCCGTTGGCCCAGGAGAGGCTGCATCCTGAGACCATGGGGTTGCTCCTGCCGCTCAGTCGTGTTGTGTCCTGATGATACATTTTCTCTAATTCAGAGTGTGTTTCAGCATGTTAGGTTCTAAATTAGAAGATTTTCCAGATGACTTTCATAGTCTCAGGAGACAGTGCTTTGAGTAATTTCTATCTAGTCATTGTGATTCCTGGTACCCAGGGCTTGGGAGAGGTACAGAGAAAACGTTAGTTAATGAAATGTATGACTTCCAAAATCTTAGTATCAACTGGTGTTCCTTTTTTTGGGGCTGTAATTAAATTAAATGTTTTTGATAAATTGCTTTCTTCCCCTTTCCTCTTTAGGGTATCAAAAGAGGCATAATTGAGATGGCAGATCTGGTGGCCATCACCAAATCCGACGGAGACCTGATAGTGCCGGCCCGCAGAATACAGGCAGAGTACGTGAGTGCGCTGAAGCTGCTCCGCCGGCGCTCCAGAGTCTGGAAACCCAAGGTACCGGCGCCCCAGCCCCGCCTCGTGGCCGGAGCGCGCTGCGCATGCAAGGGGATGGAAGTCCCAGCTGGGCGTGGACTCAGTCTTTGTTTGTATGTGAGATGACAATTTTAAGAGTTATGACAAAGCCGGAGTATGTAGTCATGATTGTCAATATAATCCTTCAACCAGTAGATGTCAAAAACGAGTTGTGAAGCGATAGATTAGATTGCTTAATGCTGGGTGCGAGCCATTTGGAAGTGATAGCAGATCCCTTCTGAAAGGAGCCTCTTTAAAAAGGGTTTGGGAGCAATTAATGATTTGATGATCCGTACTAGAGTTTGAGTAAGAGAGAGAAGAAGGCTCCTGAAGTGACTTGCTTCGTGTTAGGCTTGTTGGGTGCTGTTTTCACTAAGGGAGGAGGAGAGTTGTGTGATGAGCGGGGCGACAGCCCTGACGTGGCAGCTCTGTCTGCAGGAGGACACTGTGTCAGTAAAGACCAGCCTCTAATCACCGCACCGAGAACCCTGAGCCATGGCCTGGAGCTCCCTGTGTCCCCCAGCCCCCTGGGGTGTTGGGTCCAGAGTCGTCTTGTACGGGCAGGGTCTGGTGTGCAGCTGTCTGCACTGGCTGAGTCGGGCGGCTTTGACAGAGCTGCTGACCTTGGTTTCACTTCCTGGCATCAGACCTCAGAGAAACCTGCCGAGCGTGGCCCTGCTCACCCTTGCGACCCTCTCGCAGTTCCCCCACGGGGCCTCCGAAGACCATCTGCCCAATCCTAAATCCAGACGAATCTCTGGGCTAAAAAACAGGGCCTCGGATCAGTAATTCATTTCTGCTATGCGTTTAGGATTCCTAGTAAGTTCCCGCAGTGTATTTCCCCACATGCTAACTAGGACACAGCAATGGAATATCTCATTTTGCCATTGCCTCTTTCCTTAGACTGTAAGAATTAATTGGCAGATATCAAAGTGCCCATGAAAGTGTGTTCTGCCATTGTAAGTAGCACAGCGCTGGTTTCCCCTTTTCAATAGGTGGTTCGTATTTCTGCCAGAAGTGGAGAGGGGATTGCTGAAATGTGGGACAAGATGAGAGAATTCCGGGACCTGATGCTTGGCAGCGGGGAGCTGACCGCCCGGCGACAGCAGCAGCAGAAGGTCTGGATGTGGAACCTCATCCAGGAGAGCGTGTTGGAGCACTTCAGGGCCCACCCCGCGGTCCGGGAGCAGATTCCTCTGCTGGAGAGGAAGGTCCTCAGTGGGGCTCTGCCCCCGGGCCTGGCAGCGGACTTGCTGCTGAAAGCTTTTCAAACACGGACTAATGAGATGTATCCCACACAATAATTTTCCATATCGTTTCATAAAGTGTTTTCACATTGAAAGTCACTTGTGTGCTTATATTTTCAGTAATGCTTTCCTGGTGCCCTCAGCCTCTGTATTTGGGAACTGTGCCTGCAAACTGGAAGAGTATTAGCTGGGGAAGGCAGAGGTCAGGCGGCTGGGCAGTACTTGCAGGGTACCTGTGGCCTGTTACTGAGTCCCATGTTTTCCTGTTTCCCTCTGCCCTCTGCCCTCTGCCCTCTGCCCTGGCGCAGTGGCCTGTAGGAGCGTTCTCAGCAGTCAGGAGCCAAGTAAGCCGAGGACGGTGAAAGTTTGTGCACCTTAAAACACCTTCCTCGATTCTGTGTTCTCAGGAAATTTGAGGGCGCATGGAAGCAAGAATCACTGCATTTTGGAAGTCTTGCCGGAGGCCAGAAGGATACATGGTGGGCTTCTCAGAGCTAAAACCCATGGTTGACTGTCCCAGGAATTTCTGAAACAGCCATCCATGTACATGAGTTACAGGACAGTTGGGAGGTGTGGTGACGTGAGCACCGCTTCAAAGTTTGCTTATCTGTCAAGTCAGGGTAAGGAAAGCTGCTGTATAGGGATGTTGGAATGATTAGATGAGAAATTACAACATGTTGTTAGAAATATTACACACAGACATGGGATATAAATAAATACATGTTATCGATATGTTACCCTGAAGGATGTGAGCTTCATGGAAAAGGTTAATTATTAACCTAATTATTGGTAACATACTACCAAAACATGCAAGTGAGGTTCATATAGTCATCATGGCCTTTCCGGCTCCAATTTCGTCTCACTATTTTGCAGCTCTAGTTCCCATTTTAACACTTCATAATTTCTGGGTGCCTGACTTTGAATTCCTGACAGAAATATGATCGGCCTGTTCAACTTTCGGAGGCACTGGAGGTCGCTGAGGGAAACCTGGGTGAGTTGCCCGGAACCAGTTGCCCACCTCAACCCGTGCTGCGGGCCCTGGAGAAAGTGTGAATCGGTTGCTTCCTCGTCGGCAGCACCAGTGTGTACGGCCCTGTTTCCTCGGGGTCATGGGTGGGGAAGGCAGTGTGTGCGCTCCCGCCACAGAACAAACTCTCGGGGGGAGAGCACGAGTTTCGGTGTGCTCAGGTGACTTGCCGAAGCAGCCAGCGTGGCCGGAACTCAGACCCACCTCCCCTGGCTCCTTACTCAGTGACCTCTCTATTATGTGGGTTAGAACCAGCTCTTAAGAAAATGCATTGCCTGTTGACTATCTTTTAAATTGTTCCTGTTCTTCCTTAAGTTATCAGGCTGTTTAATTCTAGAAATGTCATTGTTTACTAGAGATTTGCCACACAAACTACATCTTAGGATAAGAACTTAAGAAATCACACTACCTCCTGATAAAAATAGTGATGTTGCCGGTTCCAGAAACTTCTTCCCATTAGCTCCAGTCACTTGGGGCTCTTGGAACCACAGAGGACACAGACCATCGTACACGGTGAACTGCAGAACATCAGCTCCGTTGCTGTGGTTTGAGTCAGGTCCACCTGGAAGGAGACGGTGAAGTCCTAGTCCTCAGTCTCTGAGAATGTGCTCCTACTTGGCAACAAGGTCATTGCTGACGTGATTAGCTGAGAGGAGGTCGTGTTGGAGTTGGGTGGGCCCTGATCTGCCATGACTGATGTCATCAGAAGATGGTCACGGGAAGGCAAAGACACAGGGGGACCACTGTGGAGATGCAGACAGACTGGAGTGAAGCAGCTTGGTGCCAAAGGACGCCAAAGACCGCTGGCAAACGAGTGGACTGAAGAAAGAGGCGGGGAAGGGTCCTCCCACGTGCTCCAGAGGGCGCGGCCCCGCTGACACCTGGATTGCAGAGCAGACACCTGGACTCCAGAAGGCGAGGCGGTTCATTTCCATTGTGCTAAACCACCCAGCGTGTGGTGCCTTGTCACAGCAGCTCCAGGGCTGCTGTCAACCCCCCGTCTGAGCCTAACTCAAAGAAGGAACTCCTACCAAGATTGTATCACGCCTCCCCACCCAGCTAAGAATATAGTCCGTGTCCTCCCAATTCTGCCTTCCCTTGGGACCCTCGAAACCCATTAAAGAAAAGGAACACAGGAGAGTCCTCATGTCTATTTTGACAAAGTGCTGCACCCTTCGTTCTGCTGCTATTCCACCACTCAGTACTGGGCTTTGACAAACTCTCCCAAAGGACCTGAACTTACAAGTCTGGGGGGTTGGGTTTCTGTAAGAGGGACTCAGGAAATTACAGAGTCATTCTAAGGCCATTAGCTGTCAGCAGCAGAAGAGCCGCGGTGAAATGCATGGCCAGTCCAGGCTTCTCTGCCTTGCTAAGGTGACGTCTGATACCCACCAGAGAGTGGGGGGAGGGGTCGAGTACACAGAACATGTCCTGCTCTTAGAACGCTCACTCTGGTTTATTCCACCTTACCATGTCTATTAAGCTTCTCTGGCATCGAGCCCTTTCATGTGGTATCTGCAGTAGGAATTTTTAGCTCAAAATAATTTAACCTTAATCATGTGCTGAAAAAATGTGGTAGGGATTTGTACCTCAGCACAAAAGTTACTTCACTGCATATGGTATATGTACTTTCTAACATTTAGAACGTGTACCCACTAGATCTGTGTTCTGGTGATCTTCTCTGCACAGTCCCCTATTTAAAGGACGGTGGCAGGAAAAATGCAGCAGATGTGTCATTGTATTTGTTGGGGTAGACCAATGTGGCACAGAATAATAAATGGTGTTCAGTGACCCAGAATAGACGCACAATAAATATTTATGGAATGAATGGACGAATGAACAAATTCTGAGCAAAGCTTATACATAGCCACAGAGACAAAGCCACATATTGAAAAATCTCTAACAAAGAATGGCAAGTCAAAGAGCTGGAATATTTTGAGTTAATCTAGTTCTCCAGAGTCCCCTCAATTGCATTTGTTGGGACACCCACGTTTCTGTAGGACAAAGTACTGTCGTGTCTCTCTAAGCTGAAAGCGTCCCTCAACAGAACCCCAGAAACAGGTACGTAAATACCTGTGCGTGTTACGCTGATCTGAAGGAGGTGGGCGGAGTATCAGCCTAGGCTGTCGTAGGGTCCTCTGTTCCCAGGTCTTGTGCACATCCCTCCTGAGCACCCCTGAACTTGCGGACAGACCTTAGTAACAGAAAAGTGAAACTTGGATTTGTGTTTCACGGAGCCAACAGCTTTAGAAAGTAACTCCCTTGTTGAATGGGGAGTGAAGGAAGGGACTGTCTCTTCAGTCCTAAACAGACTTATCTTCTGGTCTTTGTTCACCAGCACACATGCATGAACTGACTGATTTATCGGCTTTATTTTGTGCCTGTCTCCTCCCCCCACCATGACCTTGCAGGTAGGATTCAGCTGTTTAAAGCTCTGAGGAGTTCATCTACCTATTGTTTATCTTCAAGCATTTAGAAGCTGTCACCTGATGAGGTCCTCCTTACAAAGAATGTTTCGATCCCAGTTAGGAGATATGCATAGGGGTGACCATTATAGAACCTCTCTTCTTAGCCTGGAGACTTTCGGGGCTTGCGAGGGTCTTGCATGTCAGTGTTTAGTGGATGACATTTGATGGGTGGTATTTAAACCTGACTGCAGACGCTTCAGAATGTTGACCGGTGTGCATGACAGAAGGCCGTGCACATCCTTGCTTAGGAACAAGGGCATCGGCAGAGGTAGGTGGAGATGACAGATGAGAGAGGAAAGCGGGTTAAAGACGTAGGTTGAAACAGTCTAGAGGCCAGACTGCAGTCACCCTGTCGGAGTTCCAGCTGCCGTTCTGTCACGCCCTGGCAGTGTGACATTGATCAAACTTTCTGGGGATCAGTTTCCCCGTCTGCAAAACAGGGACAATAACAGTACCTTCCTGATGGCATTGTTGTGAGGGTCAAATAAATTAATGGGTGTAAAGGGCTTGCTGAGTATCTAGGACATAAAAGTATTTGCATCTATGTCACCACTTGTTACTATTATTTTTACGTGATTGTCTGTAAAGACTCAGGGCACTTAAGCAAGAATAGAACTTGGAAGTACCTTTTAGCAAGTTCTTTCCCAGGGACTTTTGACTGTCCCAGTCATGTGTTCTGTGTGACACTTGGACTGTTGTGCAGCAGAGTTGTGCCATGATGGCCAAGTTTCACAGTACAGGGAGGAGGGGCTGCTTGGCTCGGGGGGGGCTGCTTCCCCTCCACTCCCCCCGGGAGGGCAGAAGTCGGCTCCCCCATCTGCTCTTGATCCCAGGAGGTGCCACGGTGACGTTCAGAAAGCCTTGCCCATCGTCGGGACTCATTCTTTAGTTTCAGTTATTGAGAGTCTTCTTGTTTGTGTGTGTGACACACTGTGGGTTACTCCCTTGCAGGTACCTGTGAATGGACAGGGCTTCCTCGGAAAGCAGCAGCCATTGTCTCAGGTTTCCCACATGGGGGTCCACTGTAAACCTGATGTTTTCCTATTTCCATTTCCCCGTCCTTAGTCCCCACCAACACACACCCGCTTTTGAAAGAGCTGCGTGACTTGTTTTCTCCTGACCTCTGATAACCAGACCCTGAGCTTGAGAAAGAGAAAATCTACGAAGCATCGCAGTTGTTGAATTGATTCCAATGGCTTTTCCCTAGAGGGTTTTGTGTTTGTTTTTTTGTTTATTAGAGAAATAGAAGAGAAAAATGATTGTAAACCCAAAAGGGAGTCTTTGCAAGATCTGGGGAATAGGTTCTAGGTGTATGCATCCCATTTGTCTTACTTTTTATAAAATAACATAGCGGCTCTGATTATGAGTTACATATATTCATTGTAAAATGTTTAGAAAATAAACGTAAAATATAAGAATAATATAAAAACAATATGTAACATGTAATAAGTATTAATATTTTGATGTATAGCCTGCTGGACCTTTTCTTATAAATACATATACACATATGTTTCTTATTTAACAAAATTGGGATCATAGTGCATACACTGTTTGAAATCAATTTTAGTTTTCAGATAGTAAAAATAACCAAAAAAGAAATTTCAAAAAGAAAAAAAAAATCCTTCCCTTCAGGCCCCTCCTCAGTAACTTTGTCAATTTCCTTTTCCTGCTCCTGTGCACTTCCACCCTCTTTATTTCTACCTAGTCCTGTTGCAGCTGGTTCCTTGTGTCCTATGTCCTTGAGACCATGTGCCACACAATTTTTGATAAGGCATAAAGATTTCCAAGTTACACAGTTGGTACACATGAGGAAATCGTTCCAAGATCAAGGGCTGAGCATTAATATTATGCTAACTGACAGATTCCAACAGTTATTAACTACAACACATTGTGTATGCTCATCTCACTGTTGGCCACACTTACCCAAATAGCAGAATTTGGCACCTTATGGGAGGGGACAGATTCTTACCCGAGATGGAAGCTTCAGCTTCATACTGGGTATTTTTGTTCAAGGGAATTCTGCTTCTGGCCTTTCCATAAGTCGTTTCCCTCCTCGGTTTGATCTCGGAATGGTCTCTGCATTCACAGAATGCAGTCTGACCCATCGAGTCTGGGATGACAGAAACGGAAATAGCAGTTACCTCTGGGTGCGCGTGTGTATGTGCTGTTTGACTGGGAAGGGACCAGAGGGGTACATCTGGGTAGTAGTTACTTGGAAGTGCACACATTTAAAGTATACTTGTGTACTGCACTGTTTCATGTTGCATCTCAGTTAAAAACAAACAAACAAACAAACAAACAAGAACTATTGCTTGGTCCCCCTTCTTCCTAGCTGTACCCATAGTTGGAGCTGGATGTCTAGAGAAGGTCTAGTAAATTTCAGGGACCACCGAGCAGCCATTGTCCTCATGGTAGAGACCCCAGCCTGTTCATCTCCTGGGCTGTTCTGCAGAACAGCAGTGCCCCTAGATCTTCCTCACACTACCAAGGGAGCTGGTGGCCAAATAAGTTTAGGAAATGCTACACCATCTACATCCCTTTGAAAGATTCACAGTGCAGTTTGAAATGTTAAAGGCTCTAAGTCCTATAGCAAAGAAGCATGTTTATCCCAACTTGTCTGGGCTTAACCCCGAAAGTCTTAATATCTATTAATGCCTTATTAGAATAATCAGCTTGTGTTTAGACAAAAGTCTGGTCAAGGCCAGCCCCCTCCTCCCAGTCAGGTGATAGGTACGCCACCTGCTGGTTTCATTGGGTATAAGGTCACTCACTCAGGAAGCTTCTCTTTTCCCTGAATTGCACTCACAAGCCGGAGTTCCTTGACAAGGTTGTTTCCACATTTAACACAGCAGGGACTGAGCAACGTAATTTGCCATAATTCAGGTACAAGGGAAGTTTTTAGTGCATACTCAGCCTGAAAATCAGATCATACAAATCAGCACTGAGTACCAGTGTCCCAGACGAGTGAGACTCTTGATAAAATGAGGACAAAGTGAGTGCAGAGGCTTTTAGGACTTTGTAGATTAAATACGTATGATAATAAATTTAATTAGTCTGTTCTATTTATTCTCTAATTTGAAGTTGACTTATTGTAACAGACTTGTTCAATATCGAATAAATTGATGGACAAAGATCTGATTACATGTAAACCACTATTAGACATTTTCACTTAAGCTTTTAAGTTTTACTACTATTGATTCTCGAGGCTATAATTGTTAAAATGATATCATAATTGATTTAGGGAATAGAAACGAAACTAATGTAAAGGACCAGAAATATGGTAAGTTATGGTTAAATACACTTATGTCATAACTCAGAAAAAGTTTATTTTATTACATGTTTTATAGACGACCTCACAATATATTGAAATAAGAAAGTTTTAAAATATTTTCTACAAATAACCTCTCAAATGTGTTCTATTTATTTTCCCATCTTGAAACAATATATATGTTGCTGGCAGAGAGTTCTTTAAAAACACTTCTTTGGCTGAATTGCTAAAAGTTTAGGCAATAAGCAGCCACTGGCACCACTGGAGGGGCCAAAGTGACTTGTGCAGCCTGGTTTTTATTCTCCTATTTCATTTTTTTATATTTTAAAATATTTATTTACCTTTACAGAGAGGGTAAGGGGGGGAAGGGGGAGAAACATCAATATGTGGGTGCCTCTCACTCTCCCCCTACTGGGCACCTGGCCTGCAACCCAGGCATGTGCCGACTGGGAATTGAACCAGCAACCCTTTGGTTCGCAGGCTGACGCTTAATCCACTGAGCCACACCAGCCAGGACTTATTATGTTTATCTTCATCTTCTCATCACATCTAGATTTCTCCAAGAGATCTCCGAAGAAATCTCTGCCTTCAACTCCACGAGAAAAAGCAGCTGGGTCTGCAAACATCTGCCTGGTCCTTCCAGGGCAACGGTGTTGTGGTCCACATTTCAAAGTTCTAAGGAAAGAAACTCCTGATTTTAAATGTTAACAGTTATTCGCAAATAATGTGAGTCTCAGAGAGACATACCTTATGGTGTGTCAGCCTTGCGTTAAAGACTGTTTAGCTTCAGCTCCTGGAGCAGGTATTCCTAGTATTCAGAGGTCAGTAGCCTCAGAATCATCTGACAATATGAACAGATTGATTTCTGGGCTTTTCTTCAGACTACAGTCTGTGGAGTTTGTGAAGGTAGGGCTCAGACCTCTGCATGTTTAATGTGTCCTATAGGTGCTGGTCCAATCCCCTATGGAGATTCTTTCTTTTTCCTTTGTTTTAATGCTGCTGGGAGATCTACTCACCGAGTGGCTGATCAGGGGAGGCATGGCATCGGTGTTTATAAAGAATTCCACAGGGCATGTGCCTAAGCACAAGGGTTGCGAACTACACTCCAAGGGTTGATTAAAGGAAGGAAGAATGTTGAAAGATCTCTTTCTGTTTGCCAGTGGATTGTTTGTGAACGGAGAGAAAGGCAGGCAAACGTATTAACTAGATTTAATCATTAGTGAAGGATGCAGGAAGTCATGTGAGTAGGAGATGGAATGCCATGACTTCTCCACCTAAACAAGGTTCACAGTGGCATTTCAATGACCTTACTTCTTGACCCTGGCTGCTCTTTAGAATGCTGTGGGAGTGAACTTTTGAAAAAGTGAACTTTTTGAAAAACCCTACTCCAGGCCAATTAGATCGGAATCTTCAGGGGTGGGTGGAACCTGGGCTGACACCCTGGGCAGCCAGCTTAAGCACCATTGCTCTGTGACATAGGACACCTGCTATTGTTGATGTCACCATCAACATGTGAAGGGTTCGTGTTTGTGAAGACCCTTGGAGGCCAGTCTCTGAAGGGAACAAATGTTCGGTATTCTTCAACCAGCCATCATTAGGACTCGTGATTTCATTTATAAAAGCGATTGCCATCTGCTTTTCTGCCTTAATTTGTAGCACTATATTGCTTAGAACAAAGGCCGGGAAGTTATATAACTTATAAAATTACTGGTTAAAACTGGGGGGCAGGAGGGCGGTAGTATGTGTGGAATTTTGTGATCTGTTGCTTGGCAACTTTTGATGAGCCCAGGCGATTAGTTTCTTGCTACTAAAAGGAAATTCATTCTTCGTTGTGCAGAGGGCTTGCAAAGTGACCCGGAGCCGGCCGTCCACAGCCATGTCGCACTTCTTCTACTTGACTCCAGAGATCCCCCTGCCCTTCAGCCCCCTGACTTCTCAGGAGTTCGAGCTGATCAGACGCAAGGCCGGAGCATCTTGGCAGAGTGAAACAAGATGGTCAGCCTCTTCTCCAACGACGTACACGGGCAGTTACCGGAGAAAAGCACTGGAGGAACCCGCAGGCAGCCGATTTGCTTCAGAAGCAGCACAACACTGGCCTGAGTGTCCCCAGTAAGATCACTTTGTCATTTGCACCTGGACATGTTGCTATAAATAGACAAGAATGCTAATAGAGAGAGGGTATTGTAAACCCAGAGGGACTTCCTCAACTTCACTCTGTGTATTTTCCCATCATAAATGTCAGCGAGCTAAATGTCAGTTATCAGCTTAAATGGTTGGTCGTCTCTCAAGTGCTTGTAAAATTATAACTTTGTACCTGTGAAAACATAAAACTATAGGTATTTGATTAAACTGTGGATATTTTGTTCTCTGCTCAGTGAAGGCTCTCCTGAGCCTTTTACTTTATTTCTTGTCTAGTTTTTCCACTTTTAGCTGTTAAAAAAAATGCCCCCAGAGCACAAGGAAGTTCTGCCGAAAACCCCACCCTCTGTGCTTCGCCTGGGAGTGGCTATCGGTGAAGGCGGTGTTAGGGCCTGACAGGCAGTTTCTGAATGTTTACTCTGAGTCCAGCCCTTTGTTAACCCCCCCACCACACACACACGAAATCAGTTTAATGTGGTAACTGAAACCACAGAAATAAGGAATCAGCACGAAGGAGGGCGATGCTATCAGGGTTCGGGGCGGGATGGGAAGGGTGCCCTGGGAAAGATCTCGGGATGCAGGTTTCCTCTGAGCTGCGGAGGCCGTGGGAACCCTGTCTGCGGAGCTGGGAGGGGGTGCAGGGGAAAGAAGCGGTTCATCTGCAGCACTGTCAGAGAACTGCAGAAAACATCAGTGGAGATGTAGAGAAATACGAGGACTCCTGATGAAATATGTCGTCCTTTATGTTCATTGTCAACTATCTTGTCCAAATTCTGAAAATCGATGTGAAAATCAGTCGGATTAGAGGCTCCAACTTCAGATGTGAGGGCTAACTCGAATAATATCCTAATAAATATTAGTTATATTGCCTTCCAGGCTTTCCAAATGATCAAAACCATGCTTAAAGCTAAGATGTCTCCAAAGTACTCGGTTGGATGCCTTGTCTGATTTATTCCAACAAACTGCAGTCTCTGCGTCTTTAAAAGAGCTCAAGTATGTTGACTCGTCAGTTCATTTGGAAAGTTCCTTCTGCAGTTTTGTGAATTTCGAGGCATCGCTTGGCCAGATAGGGGAACCTTCAACTACATCTGGCGTCCTCTCTGAAAAGTTTGCAAGCTGGCCTCCAAACATGTGCACTCATCAGAATAGGAAAAAGTAGGTAAAAAAGTAGAAAAATGCGGAAATACCATATCTGGTGAACACGTACAGAACCTTGAACTAATTTTCTACTGAGTGATCATGGTGTGAATCAGCCTCACCAAGGCACCCCGTGACACTGCCAAGCACAAAAAGGCACAAGCCGGTGAGGTTTATCTTTATCTTTATTTTTTGGAACCTCGGAAATGTAAGTGCATCCTTTGCACAACCGCGGCTCATTCTGTTCCAGGCTAAGAAGCAGTGGGGGTTATCAATGAAGGAGGAGGGCAGATTTAGCTCGTTTCGAAAGCACTGGTTATCCTCTAAGTTTGCTTTTGTTTTTCATCTTTTTTCTTGGCGAATTTCATTATTTATTTCTTTTTGTCCTTTTTAAACTTATTCTTTATTGGATTTATTGACATGACGGTTAATAAAATTATATAGGTTTCAGGTATCCATTGTATAGTACATCATCTATCTTTTATTGTGTGTTGACTATCCCACGTCAAATCTCCTTCTATCACCATTGACCCCCCCGCCCTTGGTTAATTTTAGTACCAAGGACAAATGTCTTAAGTTAGGAGCAAAAGCTCTTTGATTAAAATTCTGAAAGGCTATAAAGAGGAATTTTTACACTGCTATAAAATCAAAATGGTCCAAGGGGGGATTGCTGAATGGAGTGTGAGCTGACTGATCACCTAAAATCTGTCAAGTCAGGAAAATATTAACATGCCCAAAACATAATACTCTTTATTCACCGCCTGCTTTGAACACCCATATTGTGCAAGACAGAAGAGAGTTGGTCACTGGGTTCTGAGTCAGATTTGACAGCAAATCTGTAGGACCATAAACTGCAGAAAGAGGGCGCTCCTCCTGCCTTGGGAGAGCGGAGGTGAGTGCGGTGCTGCAGCCTCCAGGGAATGTCCGTGCCCATTCCGACTGTCCGCCAAGGTTCGAGTAAGCGGAGAGTCGCGTTTTGCAGTTCCTCAGACAGAAGTATGGCACAAGGATAGGCTTTTAAGCCTCCATGCTTTATTTATAAAACTATCCATTTATTCACTATTAATCAAATATGTTTTAAGAGCATCTTTTGTGTGAGGTCTTTTAGGCTAAATGAAGAGTGGTGATGGTTGGACAACATGTGAATGAGCCTCATGCCACTAAAGTGTGTAGTTACATGTGTGAAATGGCCCATTTTATGTTATATATATTTTGTAATAATAATTTGTGAAGGATGGGACTTTCAGAAAAGGGGGAGGAGATATATATATAATCTTCACTCCTCCATAAAAGCAGAAAAAACTCTAGGAAAAAACAGTCAAAATCAACTTTTTAAAACAATTCTAGAACTTAACCAAAGGTGTGCAACCATCTGAGGAGTGTTTCCAAGGAAAACTGCAAAGCTTCGATGAGAACAGCAGGGTCTGTGGCACTGGAACTCGACGACTCTCATCCCTTGGATGGTTCTTGAGGACGGTTCCTGCAGGTGCTTGGCCTTGAGAGTGATCTGCTTTGTTGACGACCACAATTCTCAAGCCACTCCCCTTGGAAACTCAGACCAGGAGGCACCAATGAATCTGCTTAACAACGTTCCACGTGATTCTAGAAAACAATGAGAACTGCCACTGGGTAAGAGGTTGAAAATCTCTTCCTGCAGTCTGGCCACCTGACACCAAATGTCACTGGAATATTTTCAGTTCCAGGTAGATTACTTCCAGGTGAATTAAAGAGCTAAGTGTGAAAGGTGGAACAAGAAAACCCCTACCTTGCACCCTCTGCTGCAGGTCCCGGAGCTGGGACACCCCTCCTTCCCCAGCCCGAGGCCCCAAGTCGGGGGCCACCCGTGTGATGTGCTCCAGTCTCCATCTCATGCAAAATACCCACATTCCCCACAAGGCCCTGGCTTGCTTAAAGAGAGAGTCAGTCATATCTGGATTCAGGGCAACTGAGGTACGCTGTGTTCTGGAGGACAGACACACCTCTGGGGGTCCCCAAGTCATTCCACTGCTGTGACGTTCTAAGTTGTACTGGGAACCCCATGTGATTACTGCAATATTTTCTCTTCCATTCATAGCAACTTTCTATTCCATTCAAAACAACTCCCTAGAGAAAAGACTCATAAATCCTCTTAAAACAATTATGAACTTAATGCTTGAGTTTTCATGCACAAAAGTTGAACATGTTAGCCTTTTATGACAAATCAGGGAACAAAGACATCGCTAAAGACAGTGAGTCCAACTTGGGTTGATGTAATAGGCTGTGGGATTATGGTTGAGAGTGTGGAAAGGGAAAGAGGAAGCAAACATTTAAGAAATTAAATGTACAGATGAATGAAAATCTCTCTAAGTTCATAGGCTGTGATTTATAAGCCCGTAAACTTATAACTCGTTTTTCCATTCGCTTTCTTCAGGATATCATCGCCAAACGGCTCCGCCTGCACCCCCACACTCTGCAGGGCTGGTCCCCAAGACACGGCAGGTCTTAGAGGTGAGTGCAGCACCATGGGCTCCGAGCATCGCCCTCTGTACAACTTTGCTTTCGTTGTAACTTCTGGGTTCTTGATTTAAGTCATATGGTTTCCATGTTCCCACATATTCTACTCTGTATCCATCACCCCTAAGGGTGACTGTTATTTTAGGGCAAAATTTTCTCCTCCAGTTTTTCCCAAATGTAACTCCGCCGGAGCCTCGAGCTCTGGTCGAGTCCCCTGAGCTTCACTGGGCACATCAAAGAACTAAGAAGGGAAACAAAGCTATAAGCCACCAGCTAGTAAATGACACTTGCTCACCTATAACCACTTCCTCCCTGTTTTAGTGAGATTAGGGTGAGGCTGCTATAACAGGTAAACCTCCAAATTCCAGTGGCTTAACTCAACAAAAGATATTTTTTCTTCCTTTCAAGGCCAGGGTGGGGGATTTGCGAGGAGACTTTCCACACGGAGATTTAAGGGCACAGACTCTCTTCATCTTGGGGTTCCACCATCTTCTGGGACCCCAGAGTCCTTGGTCTCTATCTGGCAGGAACAAACAACACCCATCTTAGGCTCACGTTCCAAAGGGAGAAGCGGTCACCAGGTGGCATCCACCCAGACACCAGAGAGTTCAGAAATGGGCTCCTCACTGGGCAGCTGCTTCCTAGCACCAACTCCCCTCCCACCCCGCCCTGGGGAAGAAACCGCTAAGCACCCCGCCACACACTCCGATTCCGAGGACGAAGCAACAGGCTTTCCTCCTATATATATGTCCATCTCTCGGGGTTAACTCTTTGAAGGTCTAATAAGACTAATGTCATCTCACGTTAGAATTGTTAGCACTTTATGAAATCTTCTAGTAATGCTTTTTGCTGTAGTACTGAGAGGTTTAAGGTGTGTGTTGGCAGATGAACAGAGCTATCCCGCAACCCTACGGGGTTTTCCTCAGTGATGGAGATAAAGGTTTTTAACAGCTGCCTTGGACGATCACTGGTCTGCTGGCTTTCCCAGGAGTGGTTTGTTTGAGGTGGGTTTTATGCAGTCCGCTGGTGGCTGGGGCAAAAGCACAGGGCAGCTAACCGTTCGTGCAGTTGTTAAAATCGAGAAAGTCTTATATTCTCCGCTTTGCAGTAATGAATGTAAAATGGAAACACACTGCGCCATTGGGAGATGAGGCTGAGCCGGGGCACAGGCAGGTGAACAGCCTCCTCACGTCGCTCAGAGTGAGCCGAGGTGACAGGGCATCTGATCCGAGGAGCACAAAGCGCACCCCCATCACACTCATGTTCTCTCTGTGCCCTTCAGGATTCTGATGAGCCCGCTGATCCCCTCCGGCCTGGGCGGCCAGGAGCAGCCCGGGGTCAGATGGGCGGGATTATTTCCGGGTGGTAACGTGAGCAGCAAAAGCAGTAACTGACCACTGTATGACCAGTGTGACTTTGACTTCCCGTCCTGTCCTGTTTTCAGGGGGAGGCAGTGGAAAGAGGAAATGACATAAGTGTGTGTATCCATAACGATGACTTCTTAATAGATTTCACCCGATCACTTCCCTCACTCTCCTCAAATGGTCATTGTCATTTAACTGATTGCAGCAGCAGGTCCTCAGATAAGATGATTTTGGTCCATGTCCTTTCCTTATAATGTCCATGAGCTGCTGTAGGGACTTACTCTTGTTTATGTGAGTCAGCCTTCAGCAAAATTGGTTTTGTTTTCTGCCATGTCCCCTAAAGTCACAGAACCTATCCGCACAGAGTTAAGTGAGGGCTGAACTGTACTCGCTTCATTAAGAAGTGACCGCACATCAAGGCAGAACGATGCCATTTGGCCAAATGATAACTCCTTCTGTGCTGCTTTTCAATTTTCACACCGAGTGTTTGGATCGTGAACTTCGTCATGTTAGAAGCCCCTAATGAAGGGCACTAAAACCTGAGGCCAGGGATCCAGTCGCCAATGCAAGCCACCTGTGTTCGTTTGCTCACCACTGGCAGGAAGATCGTGGTCTGCTGACTCTTTCTTTGCAGCGATGCATCCACATAGGTGTACAAATCAGATGGACCAGGCTGAGTGTGATTCCCGTTCATCAAAGCAAAACTGTTCTCATTCCTTCTCGCAACTGCCTTTCAAAGAGCTCAGCTGTATTTGTTCTGCCTATCGAGGGTGGTTTTCCTTTTGCATGACTATCACTTTCTCTCCAGTTGTTTAATTTGGATCGGCTCTCCCCTCCTATGGCCCTGTACAAAGCAATACCTGATAAAAAGAAAAACCAAGTGTCATAGAGCTGTAGTACAGCAAAGAGAAATTGATAAACACTTCAACTGTTCACATACACTCTGCTAAGTAGATTCTAGCAAGTTCTGTTCACTTTGAAAGCTTCCCTCCAGCAGAAGCAAGAGCTGGGTGAAGTGCAGACTGTGGCTGAGCTGGGGCAGCACTCACTGGCCACCCCTGTCCCTTCTCTGGTTCTTGATGCTGTACCTGTGGCCACACCTGCACCCCTCTAAGACGAGCCCAGGGTACCTTTGCAAAAGGCTACACTGGCCTCTTTCATTCTTGCTATTCCAGCAGCTGCAGTATGTACTAGGGAAGAGGCTCTATGTAGTGTGACCAAGTCAATGCCCAGAGGTGACCACAAATGTAAGATCTCCTGGGGAAAGTCCTTAACCACAGGTGACAAATTCCGAATGTCTGCAGCAGCTACCTAGATCTGCCTCTGTGCTATACACCCTTCCACAAGGGTGGCACGTCCAGGAGAATAGTGACAAGAACTCTTCTAGTATTCTAATATTCCGGGAGGGCAGCATCTGTATGCTTTGTCATGTTGCTTCAAGAGTGTTAGTATCCATTTCTAACATCCTTTTTCTTCTCTTCCTTTATTTCCACTTTCATTTCTCTGTGAAACATCCTCCCAACCTCAAAAGATTTCTAAAAGCAAAACGAACTTGCCAAACTACCCTACAGATTATGTCTTCACACAGGGAAATCTCAAAGCATGAATGAGTTAGCTGATGTCACTTGTGTTTCCTGGTTCACTGGCAACAAAATCCTAATTCCTCACCAAGGCCTTGAACTCTTTCATGAATGTGACCCTGCCTCTCCCTCAGCCCCATTGTGTGCCTTTGCTCAGCTTTTCTTACTCTGTTCCAGTTACAGTAGTTTCTTTTAATAACTTGAAAGTGGTAAGCCATTTCCTGCCCCAGGACCTTTGCATATACACTCTCTTTGCCAGAATACAATTTTCCTGACTCCACTGAGTTGTGACCTTCATCTTCTTCCACCTCCTACTCCCTCTCCTTCTCTCCCCTCCAACTTCCTCCTCCCCCTCCCCCTCCCCCCCTCCGACTGTCACTGTGGAATTTGATGGTCACAGGAACAAGGTGACTTAGAACGAGCTGCGCTCACTGCAGGGTTCCCACGCTCACTCCTGGTGTGGGCTGTCACATCAGAGGGACCTGTGAATGCTGGCTTTGGTGTGTTTTCTGGCTAATTTGTGTGCCTTGCTGTGGGAAGTGCACACATCTCTTTTAAACTGCAGGAAAAAAGCTCACACCAGCTACCAGTAAATGCAGAAAGTGTCATAAGCAGTTAGCTGTGACTGAGGTCCCCACCCCATTAATAATGACAGACACGCTGGATGACTGCCAGCACACTCTGGAGAATTCCAGAAAGGCCTGCCTCCGACTCAGGAATACTCACGTCCCTGGTCAGTTGTTGGGAACTCAGTTTCGTGGTCTCTGTTTTGAATTAGGAAATAGTCTAACAAATGGTTAAATGTCTTCGCCAGAAACTATTTCAGTCTAGGGCAACAGTTTCCAAACTCCCTGCAGAGACTGGGCACAAGGGAACCCTGGCAGCCAAGCCTGTGATTAAGAAGGTCACAAGATGCCATCTGTTTCCGTGTGCACTTGACTGTCCAAGCGTAACAACCACTAGGAGGTGGCTGCCTTGACTTCTGCCCATGAACTTCACAGGTAGCACTGTGGTAGGCACGATGGTGACTACAGTGGGCTTGTATGAACAAACCACGGGGCTGCTTGCAGGGCGGGTTGGGGCGAGGCGGGGAGGCGATGAAAAGGAGGCGAAGCGCTGTTTCCCACCGGCCTGCCCTTGGCTGGAATCTGACTGCCACGCTGAGGCTGGTTTTCCTCATCTTTTCTTGGCCGCGCGTTGGCCATCTCTAGGAGGTGATTGGAGCGCTCCTCCTTAACCTGTAATTGTGAAGTGAAGGCAGGTGAACAGATGCCCTGTTCTTTCATTCACAATTTAAAAAAACGTTTTAATCCCCGCAGAAGCCAGAGGACTAGGACACTCAGTATTCGCCCGCTCTCACCGGGATTCTTTGTTTGGGAGCATTTTGCCACGTTTCTTAACGCTCTTAGTCTCTCTGTTGATGCTGGTATGGGCTTCTTGGCTGAACCACTGAGGGTGAGTTGCAGACACCATAACGGCACGTCCTTAACTCCTTTGGCGTGTGCCTCCTAGGAGTGAGAATGTTCTCTTACAGAACAATAATGCTATTACCACCCTTAAGAAGCTCAATATAGATAGAATTACTTTTTAAAAACCTACTATACAGATCATTAAATGCCTGGTTCTTAAAAGCCTGTTGGGAAAGGTTTCTTTAGCCTCTGTCCCAGGGGTTAGCTGGTCTTTAAGACGCCCCCTGTTTTGAGGCCGTTCTAAAAAACATGGTGAAAGCCCCAGGCCCTTATCTTCAGAAACCATCCCTGAAGACACTCGTGCAAGGCAGCAACGCATGCCTCTCGGGCCCCTCTGCTGTCCGTGGGCTCCAGGGCAAGTGCAGCCAATCTGATCTGAATCCTCTTCTCTGTGTGCATACAGTGGAAGACTGCGGTTCTCACTGTCTGTTCAGGATGGTTTGTCTGCCCTTTCCAACCTTATGTTTTGTGTTCCAGGGACTCAGACACAGGCAGGTAGGAGGCCCCATTCTCCCCCATCTATGAAAAGGAAACTGAATCTGAAACACAGCGAGAAGCACACTGTGACAGACACTCAGGAAGTGGGCTAAACGATCAGAAGGCCCGGGAGGACACTTCCAAACACGAGCTTCTCTGATTCTGGAAGGGCCGAAGCTCACCACCCTGCACTTGCTTTCTCGATAATTTAGAAACCAAATATCTGTGGCATTCATTCCACCAGGTGGGCATGGCATTTAAGGGCCTACTACGTGAAGGTGGACCGCGATGGCAGTTACTGAGACTGTTATCTTCAAAACCACCCAGTCCGTTTGCAGTTTCAGGACTAGGAAGTGGAAGCAGGGAGGTGGGTACCCAAACTAGGATAACATTAAATGTCCTTAATTAGAAGATCAGCTGAAACTGCCAAGGTCAAGTTGCATTGTGGGCTCTGTGTTGTCAACTGTGAACTCACAAGGGAAAAAGTCATTAGCTCAGCACACGTCAACACGTGCGATCTTGCTGGTTTTCCTTCCTCCCCAGAAACAGATTAAACAACACGAGAAACATTTTTTCCAGCTCAGTTAGAAAAATGACCGTGTGGCCAGAAGATGGACATGAGCGTGTAAATCCCTCGTGCAAAAATTCTCTTTCCCCTCCGTAACATACCAAATGCCTCAATATTAGTTTCTGCAAAATTTTAATATTATAGTAGCATTTTACATATTAATTGATGATTATCTCACATAATTCTTGAATGGAAGGGTGACAAATAACTAGTTAAAGCCTCTGGCAGGCCTGTGGGACTAATAAAGGCCTAACAGAGCTTTGAAGGGCTTGGCATTCATGGCCAACAGGATAATCAGAGCCAATTGTGCGAGATAAACTTATCCACCTACTTTTACAATAGGTGCAACAACGTGGGTCTGTCTGAATTTAACTCAGTAATTGTTGACCTGTTTATTTGACTTAAACTTAAGCTATGCCTTGTTCTAAAAAGCGTATTTGACAAATGCTAATGACCAGCACCCATCATATCATGCCAAGAAGACCCCCTTTTCCTTTGATCAGTTTTTATTCACTTTCGTCAAATTACAATTTTGAGAGAACTCAACGTGATCGGTCATTGGGGAAGTGCAAACTGCAACCCCAGTGAGACGCCACCTCACGTCTGTAAGAAGGGCTGTTATCACCACGCCGGCAGCAGCAGATGCTGGTGGGGACACGGACGGACTGGGGCCTTCGTTCACTGCTGGTTGGGACTGCGAAATAGGACAGCCATTCCGGGAAACACACTGACATTCTCTTTAAAAGTGAGGCATACGCTTGCCACAGGATCCCACATTCCACACCTAGGTATTTGTCTAAGAAAAATGAATACACGTGTCTACGCAAACGCTCATCAGGATGTTCACTGCGGCATTATCCACAGTGGGCCGAAGTGGAAATAACCCTTCTGTCCATCACTTGGTGAGCAGATAACAAAACATGGTCTACCCATACAATGGAATACCACTCATCAATAAAAAGGAACAAGTTACCAAAAGAGCTACATTGTGCATGGGCCTCCAAAACATGGTAAATAAAAGAGGCCAGATAGGAGGGACCACATAATGTGTAATTTCATTTATGTGAAATGTCCAGTAGAGGTAGATCTACAGAGAGAGTGGGTGAGTCATTTTCTGGGGCTGAAGAGAGTAGAGGGGAGTAGCTGTAAGTGGGCCGAGGGGTCTCACTAGGCTAATGAACATGCTGGAGTACTAGTTTACAGTATTACAGTGATGGTTGTGTAGCTTGATAAATTTACCGTACACTTAAAATGTTATCTGCCTCAACGAAATTGTTAAAATATACACCCAGAGCTGCTTTAGACCTTGAGAAAACAAATCGGCTAGGTCTTGGCTCCCTCTGATTCTAATACAAGTACAAGCTGTGTATCATTGAAGAATGTTCCAGGCAGAAAACTTTCGGCCCCAACTTCTGGTCCTGCACATAAGGATCTTGAGAGTCATCACCACTGCCTCCTAACAGCAGGTACAAAGCTGCACAGACTGAAAAATCAACAGCTTTTCTTGAGTCCTCAAGAGAGGGGCACGTATAGGGCCAACCACTGTCCCCAAAATTGGAGAGTCAGGCGTGGGAACACAGGGAATCACAGCCCAATGGAGCGGAGACTCGGCCGAGGAAACCACCACGGCTACCAGTGCCGGCGTGGTGCTCTCTGAACTGTGACTGACAAACTGCTGGAGACGCCCCGTGGACAGGCCTGGGAGCTAAAGACGCTGGGGGACCCAGGCAGAGGGGAGGCCCACACTGTTGTAGGATTTACCTCCAGGAACTCTACCTGGATTCCAGAGTAGATATCAGAGAAAAATCTCCTTTGTGTTTCAGGAAGAAGGAGGGGAAAGGGACTGTTTTGAAATATTCCAGACACTGTGTTCTTCACAAGGTCAGCCCTCGGGAGAAACCTGTCAACCAGAACTTCACCTGCCAGGGTATTATCGCAGCGTAACTGACCCAGAGAAGGGAAATACCCAGCTCCACCCACCTCAGCCTTCCTCGTGGGAAAAGGAACTACCCACCTCTATCTAGCCCACTCTGGCTGTGCTGTTCCACCTAAGGGGGGAGAAAAAAAACCTTACAAACCAGTGGCTTTCCCAGCCTCTCACTGGGGAATGAGACCCAATCAGAGGCTTTTACTTGAGGAAAATCTCAGAAGGGCAAAGCGCATGGAAAATGGAATCGTTCTGATAACTTTTTGTATTATAGTCTCACAATTTCAATGTCTCCTCAGCTGTTCTCAGTACCATTTTTCTATTGTAAAATAAAATTGAAACGTGTACCATACAAAAAAATGTTTTACACCCCTCTCCAAAGAAAAAACCAAGAAAAAAAACAAAGCTCCAGAATGTTTACTCTGAATGAGCGCTCGGTCACAGTTTCGTCTCACCCGACCGACTCCTACTTTTCTGCTGGTCAGATTCTCAAGGGAAGCAGGTGGTGGGAGTACATTGCACCGATGCAGCCTATTGGGAAGGTAAGAGACCGCGTTCTAGCGCTGTCTTGAGCCCGCCTTTTCCTCTCCGTTTGCACGCAGGACTGACCCCCCATCTAACCAGTTCCGGTAACAAGTCGCTGGATGTCAGGCACAGAGTGGTGAGCTCCCCGTCTCTCCGTCGTTTACTTGTAGAGCCTCCCTGACCGCCCGAGGGGGAGTGCGGCTCCAGCTCCAGTGAGCCTCCGTGAACCTCCGTGAACCTCCGTTCCCGGTGTTTTCATTAACCGATCAACACGTCAATTTGTATACTGGGTGTGTCTGCCTAAAGACACCTTATTTAAGATATATTATTGATTCACGCCTGAACAAAGGTGATCTAACACGCTTATTTTCTTGGGAAGACTGAGCACAGTCTTCTCGCATTGAGAAACAGTGGCCAGCGCTCAGGGACCCTGGTGGGGGGGGTGCACTTTAAACAGTGAAATCCCTAACAGAGCAGAAAAATGCAGAAAGTGGGCACTAAACAGGTCATGGGAAGGACACTTGTTTACAGCATGAGAGTTGAAACAAGAGGGGAAAGTGTCCCCTTGTCCGACCTTGACTGAGAGGGTGAATGTCAGGTGACTGATTGTTCACCACTCTGTGGGTGCCCTTGAAAGACCTCAGACATGCCAGGAATATTGACTTGGGGTTACAGATAAACTCACAGTAGGAAATACATGAATAATACGCGCTGATGGGATGCATTTCGCCCACTTTCCTTTTAGGGTGTTTTGCTTTTCTTATTGATTTGGATGAGCTGCTTGCGTACTAGGATTGTACTCTTTTGCCCATCCCATTTTATAAATTACTTCCCCGGTTTTGTCTTTCCATTTTACCATTAGTATCAGTTACTACAGTGGCTTTTGGTGGCAGCATCCAAGTGCCATTCGAGTGGGGAGAACAATGCTGGAAAAGCAATGTGGTTAAATTTCTATCGTGGGAGCGGTTGCTATTTATTTTTATTTTTCTTCTTCACAGGCACACCAAATTCTGTGGGGTGATTTTTCTCCAGTGCCTCCAAATCATGGAAGATCCCGTAAGTCCTACCCCAAAGTGTCACTTTATACCCATGTCCTGCCTTTAATTATGATCTTCATCTGCCATTTTCATCCCTTTCCCAGTCGGGGGCCATTTAAGGTCTTTTGTATGTCTGCCTCCTTCCTCCTGTCCCCCACCTTGTGACTTCATTGTCCCTGTCCCAACAGTAGGGGTGGTAGCATGCAGAGCTTTATTAAAAGGGGGTAGAAATCCTACAGTTTGCCGGCAGCAGCTCTGAAAAAGAGCCAATGCTTGAGAAGGTGGCAGTGGTGGCCGAGGCGGAGGCTGTGATGCTGAGGGTTTGGAACTCCTGTTGAAACTGGGCTAGGAGAGGCGGTACCTGGCCTCTGTTCAGACTGTTGTCCATTCTGCTCACCACGAGCGCTTACACACTGGCTGGCTGTCTTTTCACCCCAGATGGGAGAACGAAGAAGCCAGCCTATGAGAACCCGATGAAGCCCAGTCGGCAGAGGACAGCCTTCCCGAGGCGTGTAAGAACCTTTGCACTGGTCGCCAGCAGTGGAGGCCCTGGGTGGTGTGGGTGGTGTGCCCGTCGGCGTGGCAGAGAGGGTGCTGGTGTGTGCGCGTTTGGAGTTGGCATGAGGGGAACCCCTAGTTCACAGTCGAGTGACCCGCAGGCCTGCAGCCCGTCTGAGACGCAGTCCTCCTTTGAGCCCTGTGGACGCGTCTTGTCCAGAGCTGCCCGGCTGTTTCAGAAACACGCCACAGAGGGGGTCGGGTTTTCCTCTTGTACTGTCCAAATTTTCACCAGCAATATGTGTGTTTGCTGGATCTACTTCTCGTGAAAAAGGCATTAAGTTCTCAGACCGTCCCCCCTTCTGGGGACCCATGCTGGCTCCCCACATCTGTCCCTGCTGCCTCTGACATGGCCTTCCAGGGTTCTGTCTTGCCTGATAGGACTTCTTCAAAACCCAGCAATTTTTAACAGCGTGTTAAAATGGGATTCTTTTTATGCCTCGGAGTTCTGGCAGTGACTCCTAGAGAACCAGCGGAAAGAATAGTAACTGATTTCCACAAGTGCCCTCCTCACTTCACCTCATTCAGTGCAAACATTACACTCTTTTCTGCTGTCCTGTTGCCTCTGTTTGTTAAGATTGCTCTAAATTGGCCTAACACAACAGCAGCTCAGTCCTATCCTAAGTAATTAGACAAGGTGGGGCAGAACTAGGTTTACAGCTGTCTGTATGGAAAATAATACAATCATGAATAAATAATACAAGAAAGAAACTCTGTGTTTCACATACTCACCACTGTAAAACCTACTTTTGCTCAACCCTGTATTTGCAATACCCTGGGTTTGGTAAGCTAGTTATGTGTATTAGAAAAAAGAAAACCTGACCATTAAAATAAAAAAAATGTCACTCAAGGACCACCTAGCATTATCACAAGAAACCACCCGTTATATAAAGATACACTGTGGAAAATGCAAATCCATGGGCCCTGACTAGCTACTCTGATAAACTGAGCTAATGGGACAGGGGGTGGACAGCCCACCTTGGTTCCCAGGTCTAGTTAATGCTGACCTTCCAGAAATGGTACATTTTTCTTGATTTTTCTGCTGTAGGGCCTGGTACGTTTCCTAGGAAGCATTTCAAGCCCAGGAAGGCAGCGAGCTGGCAGCCCGTGGAGGGAGTTACTTGGGGGCATTTGAAGCTGGGCAGCCCACGGAAAATTTCAGTGATGGGCAGCCAGGGACCACCCTTCACAGTAGGGTCGGTATATGCTTCTAGGAAGGGAAGGCGATTTCCTGAAAGTATATTTACTGTGAGCTGGCCTCCTGGGAGCTGCTTGGGAGAATCATTAACTCTTGTTAAATTAAGTAAATCTGTCTTGCTGCATGGAGTTGTACTGGGGCCAAGCAATTCCCTTGCCAGAGCCCGCAGCTGTTCTGGGGAACAGTTGCCTTTCTCTTTGAGGTGCTCCCCTGACCCCCTCCCCTGAAGTGAATCCTCTCTGCCACAGCAGCGTCTTCTCAGTCAACGATTCCTGACAAACTGGTGGCGTGGCACCTGCTCTGGTTTTTATGGTGCACCAACGAACTGAAAGTACACACCTGCACATCACAGACACCCCAATATTCATCTGAGGCACCTGTCTGGGGAACACTGGGCCTACAGTTGTGACCAAAAAAATAAATCACGACTTTTTGTTTACTAGATAAGGCAGAATCTTATTTTTTTTTAAACAGACACTATGTTTTGGGGGAGGAAAACATGCACTGAGATGTATAATGTACAAATTTTGCATCAGCAACAAGCAGGGATTGAGTGGAACTTTCAACCATCATTAAGCATATTCTCCCTTTAACAACTATTTGCGCGGTGTCTAATGCCTTCAGCAGGCAGCTTCTACATGTTTATGGTTCTGGGCCCGGGTCTTCAAGGAGCTCATGGTCTGAGTAAGAGTGACAGCAGAGAAACCATCACACATAGCAGGGTGCAGACTAAAGGAGTAGGAGGGAGCGGTGGGGGACATCCTTGTTGCTGGAGGATGAGTAAAGGACAGTAGAGGAACCCTGGGCAGTTTGGTTAGTGATTCCAGGGCTTCTTGCCTCCTTTTCTCTCTTCCTCTTCTTGATCTGGCCTTTGGGGCAGAGGCAGGATAGATGAACTAGGAAGGTAGAAAGTGCTGGAAGAAAAATCAGTCACCAAACGCTCACGAATGAGGTCTGGCAGTTGCATTCCCGATTCCGCGCAGACAGCAACCTTTGCGTTTGGCCAAGTGCTGACCAACAGGTCATTTTCCTCCAGCCTCCTGTGCCCTCTGCAAGCAAGGCTGGCTCGTCTGAAGACTCAGATGCTGATCAATACTACGTTTACAGTCTGGGAGGACCATTATAGGCACTTAGCTGAGTCGGTAACAAAGCCGCGAAGCTGCAGGTCCGCGGTCCGCCTAATCATCGGCTTGGAGGTATGAGAGGGCCTTGGAGCACGTGGACCTTGGCTGGTGGCTTTCTTGGACCCTTCCCTAGGCTTCAGATGCCTTCCTCCCTCATTTTTTCTCCCTTCTTAATTGGAAGAGGGGACAAAAGAGGGGACATACCGTTACCATCATTATTAAATTTTCCTTTAAAACAAATACGTGGCACTCCGCTTTTCTGCAAGAACCACAGAAACGGTGTTGGGGGCCCGACGGCTGCGGGCTCCAGCGTCAAAAAGCCCGTTCTTCAATCTGGGAGCCCAGGAGGAGTTCAGGGCCGCGAGAAAAGCGCACTGGTATCCAGGGCAGGGAAACCGAAGCGCGGCCGCCTTCTGCCGCCAAGTTGTCCACCAAGAGAGGAGAGAGGCGCCACTGCCGAGAAGCACACTGGCCGGTAGGGCGGGCTGGGGCCATCGAGTCCCGGCGGAAGCAGGAGTTTGGGGTCTGGGAGAGTGAGTCAAGCCCTTTCCCGCCCAGGCTGTCTCTGGAGGCCGCCCTCTCCACCGTCCCTGAAGCCCAGCCACGGCCCGCCCCGTCCACGGCTCCACCCCCCTCCTGGGTCTTCCTCTCCCATCTCCTCCCTCCACGATCCTCCCCACCCCAATCCAAGACCTGCCTCCACTCCCTCCTCCTCACACGAAGACTCTTCTCCCCGTGTCCGCCCCACCCCCACGATCCGCCCCCGCCCTTGCACAGTGTGCGCAGGAGCGAGGGCCAAGGCCTGGAGACCCTACGCGCAGGAAGGGAAGGACCCTGCCACCGTCCAGGGAAGCGCAGGGCCCCAGCAGCTGCTGCTCAGGAGGGGAGGCAGAACCACGTGTGATCATGAAAGTGGCTGCCTCCTGCCCCTTCTTCCTCCCCAGCCCCGCTAGCCCGCGGTCTCGGGCTCCAGGACTCCACTTGCTCCCCTTTACCAAGACCGTCCTCCTCTTTATGATTTTTGTTGAATTATAAAGGTAATTAAAAGCCTCACCATCAACCCCACCCCTACCCAGCCCCCAAAGTGGGGAGGGGAGAGCTGATAGTGTTTGACTCTTGCTCTTGAGCCCAGGTTAGGCACAATACATTCCTGACCAGCCATCTGGTCTCGTTCCCGGGGTCCCTTCGGCTGGTTTCCATTAAGCTCTCCAAACCGTGCATTGAAAACGCAGCCCCAGAGCGACTCGGGAACCTCCGGGATCTGTGGCCCGGCCAGCCGCGGTCAGAGTCTCGGGCCTGATCCAGCGGCGTCTAGTCCCTCATGGTCCTGGCCTTGCACTGTGATTAATACGCTTCGCCACCCCAAGAAAGTCAGTTCTCTATGTCCGTGGTTGTTATTCATTCACTCGGTCTTTTTTAACTGAATGGATGGAAGGCAGAAAACAGAATTAGCATTCTGTTTTAATTCTAAAAATCTACGTTAACGGCGTTGCGGATGGTTTTACAAAATAACCTGGCCACAGAAATTCATCGCAGCCGCGTCTGCACCTTCGCCGTTCCTGTCCCCATCTCCTGACACCACCGTCCCCAAGGCAAACAACAAATGTTGGCCTGTGGGAAAAACAGCCCTTCGCGCTTGGGTTGGGGCTTGTGGTCCAGGAAAAAAGGGAACAGGCAGGTTCCTAGAATCATAGAGGTTTGTAACTGGAAAGTTCTTTAACATGCACTGAAAATAAGCCTGCCTGTTTATGGAACAGACTCAGAGAGTGTGGGGCTTCGGGAAGATCACGTGGCCTACGAGTAAAGTGCTAATTCCCTGCCGCGGCCTGATTTGGGGAGGAGACTGAGACGTGTGCGTTTCATCCCGTCCAGCACCCAGGATTCCCACGGTGCTGGGTTCGGTGGTAGTAAGTCTGCTCTCTGGCCCCTCTGCTGTGGCTCCCTCCCTGTCCAGCCGTGAGTCTTGCCTGTGTGGCGAGTTACAGCCTTTTCTTCCTTCCCCTCACCCAGGCTTTGCTCCCTTTTCTTTTCTTTTTTTCTTTCCTTCCTCCCCGCCCCAATCCGCTCTAGCCCTGACCATGAGCTTTTATTTGGATTTTTAAAATGAAACCAGGTGCTGCATAAAACAAAAGCAGAGTAATAACAAGGAGAGACTCTCCAACCCCTGAGGAATGTGCTGAGTTCTCTGACTCAGGCTGTCCTGGCAAAGAGCGCTGACTGGCACGGAGTGGTGGGTGGCACGGTGCACAGACCATACATGGCAGCCTGGCCTCCCCAGATGGGTCAGTCTGGGACTCATTTCGCAAAACCAGAGACTCTGTTCCTTGTGGAACAAGACTTCCCAGAGACCAGAGCCAAAGGATCTTAGCGTTTCCCAGCAGGGCCAGTTCAACCTGACATAGCAGGGGCCACCTTGAGGTTTGTAGGGGGTGGGAATCTGGGAAGAAAGCCATTGCTGGGAAAGAAACAGGCTTGATGGACTAGGGCAAGGTTTTTGGTGCATTTAAGAGATGAGTAACATGTAAGCTGCAAAGAGGCATGAAAATCAGCATGCACCGTGAGCTCCAGGTGGCAGGACCATCACAGTGCCTTTGAGTAGAGGAGTGTGGCAGTGCTGCTGAGGTCCCCCAGGTGTTTGCTGTTTGCAGGGGTGCGTGGTGGTGAGTGTAGGAGGAAGCGGTCCACCTCAGGTGCGTTTCTGGGTGCCGTGGCTAATGCGGTCAGGAGAGATGACTAATCACAGGACTGATAGATTTAAGACACCCGAGAGACACCCAGGCCCACGTCCTCCCATTCTGAGAATTCTTTTCAAATGAGCCTAGTAACAAGGTGAGGGGTACGTTTTTTCTGTTATCAAGAGACAGGCTGAGAGGGCTGGGAGCGCTACGGAGCACGTTCTCTCCCAGCAGAGGTGGGGGAAGGGGCCTGCACTGGGGTGATGAGGACCGTCTGTGCACGCTCCTCATTACCCAGGCCTGGGCTGCACGGGACTCCCGTCCCTGCCATCCTGGAGAAGGCTGTCACTTTCTGAATGAGAATGAACCTCGACTGGGCTAAATGAGATCACCACGCAGCAGCCTCGTGGAACAGGGCCTTACTTCTCTTTTTCCTTCTTTCCTTTTTTCTTCTCCTTTCCGCCGACTACTCATTGAAAAGCTGCAGTGTCTATTCCTTAATTGCAGGAAGAGCTCTGCTGAGCTTTTTCATTCAAGTCTACTTACCTGGAAAAACAACGCCTTGTGAGGACCGTGACTTCATAAATATTTATAGTGCAAACAGGCGTCACCCTGGTTCTGCAGGAGAATGGGCTCATTCGGTTGGATTTATGATGTGCCACTCGGGTGAGTGACATCCGTCATCTGGGGTGGCCCGACGCTCCTTGCCCTGAAGCATGTTTATGGAGTGACTGGGCCTACAAACAGCTGCTATATATAGTCCCTCTTCTTCCCTAACCCCCTTTAGTCCTTTTAACTCCCAAACCAGCAAAAAGCCAAGCTCACGGTCCAGGGACGATTTGAGCCCTGATGATGAAGTGCAGGGGCCGGAATGAGTGCTGTGGGACAAGTTTGGAGGCAGGTAGACTGGGAATGGTGACTGTCGTCATGGCATTCGGACACTAAGGGTTTCGTTGGGCTGCATGTAGCAGGTGAGGGCCCTCAGCTGGGCATGAGGGTTTCTGACAGGTGACGGGCACAGCCCTGAGTGACGAATGCAGATGGAGATTTATGAAACTTTCCTCCCCTGGGAGCTTTCTTGGGACAGGATCTCAGGTCTGTCGCCGTGCACCCCAGGGCTCTGGGGGCAGAGGCTGGTGGGAGATCTGTTCACTCCGCTGGGTCACAGTTTCTGGTGTAACCCAAGGCTGTCCCCTCTCAGCCACACCTGGCCCTGGCTGGGGGACAGCAGCGGCCCTCCACCGGCTGTGAGGAGGGAGGGCCCTGTCCGGCCTCCAGCCCTGGGGCTGCACGCATGTCCTGGCTGGGCTCCCCAGGCTGGGCCTGGGCCTCCGGCAGGGCTCCTGCCCCTGATTAGCTTGGCCACCTATTGTTTATCCTGGGAAGGGCCAGGACTTGGCACAGGGGCCTGAAGGGTTGCCAGCATTTTATTTTTAGAGACAGGAAAAGTTTGCTTTTTTGCAGCTGCTTTTTTTTTTGACACACACCGGGATGGTGTCAAAAAGTTCAAGTGAGAGACTCCAAGCCCTAAATTCATAGCAAATGACATGGGCAGTAGTAGTGCCCTGAACCTCTCCACAGAAGCCTTCGGGGAGACGAGGAGCGTTCATTAGCAGGCCTGCACAGGGCGGTGCCTCCTGCCGACCGCCCCAGCGGCCGGCCTCACGGCCACCGACTTCACGGCCTGGACACCCAGTGAGTCCCTTTCCAGTGAGCCATTGGTCTGAAGGTTTATGCTTCTTACCTCCATTCATCTCCTTCTCGACCAGTTCATAGTCTAGTCCAAGTTGGGAAGCAGAATCTGCTAAAGAAAAAAACCACAAAACCTAGTTGTTTTAAAACTGATTGTTTTAGCAGACTGAGAAATAGTCAGTCTGCTAAATCACAAGTTCACCACCCTGACCCACTGTCATTGTCATTCACGAAGACTAGTGTGCAGCAGCCGGCTTCCAAGGCCGGGCCTGCATTCCACACTCGGGGCTTGGGTTTCCAAGTTTGACTGGGATGATTACCTGTCCCGAATATGGTCCCTCTTAAAACACACACATATGTATATTTTATATATAATATGTATATATACATACTTTGTTTCAGGTCCTGTGATTTTGGCCACTGACAATTTGTCCAAAAGCATTTTGTAAACTGTAATGACATTATACAAAGGTAAAATGAAATGGAAATAAAAGTAAAGAATTAAAGCGTATCCTACCTTCCTTTCTGTCTAACCTTTTCAAACAATACTTTTTAAGTATAAAAGTAAAACACAAATATATTCTCCTCTGCCTTCTGATTACATTTGGATTCATTCTTCTTCTTGCTGGAGCACATCCTCAGGTAGGTTTTCTTTTGTTCTCCCTCCTGTCTCCTCCAGAGAGGGACCGTGGACCACAGCTTTCTGTGGGCTTCTGTGTCTGAGAGTGTGCTTCGATCTCTCTTTCAAGTGTTAGTTTGGCCCGTTACAGAACTCTGAGTGTGGATTTATTTTTCCCGAGCATTTCTATGCTGTTGTTCCATTCTTGCAACTGCTGTGGTGGATGTGAATCTCTGCAGGTAATCTGCGTCCGATTGTCCCTTTTAGGGCTCGCTCTCTCGCCTTGCTGTTCAGAAGTTTTGTTACGCTGCCTCCATGTGTGAGTTTATTTTTGAAGTTTTTTCCTCCTCGGCACGGATAGGCTCTTTCACTCTGAGAGCTTGGGCCTTTCTTCAGTTCCAGAATGTGGGGTGGCGAGGAAAAAAAAATCAGGTTAAACTGATCCATATAAGAAAGTGTGAAGGAGAAGAGAGAGGGGTGTGCGGCCTGAGTGTGGGGAAGAATTTTAAAGGGTTCTAGAGAGGTGGGGAAGAGTGAGGTTGGAGCAGCGTTCCCCAACCTTTTTGACGCTGGGGACTTCCCTGTGTGGAAGACAATTTTTCCACGGCCCAGGGTGGGGCGGGACGGGGTTGGAGCTCAGGTGGTGATGCAGCAGCGTCCCAGACCAGGAGGAGGGGGGTTGGGGACCCTGGGTTGGAGGGATTCATTGCTGGTAACGTAAGGAAAGTGCCCTCGGCAGATTTTTAAGATCTTTGGATGTATATCAAGAAGGTACTCTCTGGTGTTTTATGGAGAGGCTAAGACTTGGACTGCTGTTAATTACATTTCTTCTGTGGGACTGTTTTTTC